CATACTAAATTAAAACAGAAACACACAAAAACATATTAATAACAAGAAACAAATTTTAGTAAATTAATAAAATCAAGAACCTGCAGGATATATATTTATCTTTGATTAAGTGGATTGCTATAATTCTGACATGGTGAGAAGATGTACGTAATAATTAACGTAGTCAGCCCTCCTTTGAGGATTTTAATTATGCATTAATTATGTTCTTATTTCTTAATTAATGAAATCAATGTTCGACCAAAAAAGGGTCAGCCCTACTTTGAGGGTTTTAATTATGCATTAAATATGTTCTTATTTCTTAATTAATGAATTCAATGTTCGATCAAAAAAAGGGTCAGCCCTACTTTTTCATCATTCACTTAGAGCCTTTTGAGATTTTCTTATTTCTATGAGAAAAACATATGTACTACTATATAAACACAAACATTAGAGCACATTCACTTTCAAAAAACAATAAAAGCAAGTAAAATAGTTTTCTTTTATCATCTTTAACTTATAAAAATTAGTAATTTTCTTTTGTTGTGATACTGATCATGGCAAAGTTAACATGTAGTTATTTCTTCATACTCATCGTTGTGGTATCTGGTAATTCCATTATTTTCACTTTCAAACATTAAATAATATTTACTTTTATAATTTATATTACATAAATTATCTAAACGTGCGCATATATATTGATAAATGGATATACTTTTAGAATTTATATTTACTTTTGTCACTTTGAGAGGGTTAAAAATGCAATTTTTCCCATAAATATTATTTCAAATAATAGCATGATATATGTTATTTTTGTAGTGTTTTCGGTGGCTGCAGACACTCATGAAGATTGGTGTAATATAACAGTACCTCTAGATAATCCATGTAATCATCCTGATTGTGTTTTAACCTGCTATGAGGAGTACAATGGACCTGGAAATTGTGTTAAGGATACCGAAGGAAATACTAATTGTGTTTGTACTTATAATTGTTAAAGATGCAAAATTCAAATAAAAATTTATGATAATTAAGAATATATTTTTCTATACTCTACAATTTATACGCGAAAATACCTAACTCATATTAATGATAACAAACAAAATTGCAATAAATGTTTAGTAAACTAATAAATCTTCATTTGTATCTCAAAAAAACTTTACCCATATTAAATTTAAAAAAAAAAAATCAATAATCAAATCACCTCATATCAACAATTTTTTTTAATAACTGAGGCTATGAAACAAAACAAAAATACACAGTATGAGTTTAAAAACATCTAACCCCATAAATCATAAACCAAAAAAAAACAAACTTGGTGAATGTGTCGAATTATTAATACATATTGTGAAAGTGAAAACCAATCATGTAAGTGTAACGCTGACTGATTTGAGAAGATGCTGATACAGGATAAGATTTCAGTGATATATTCATTGAATGCTTAAGTTCTAAAACGCAGTCATCAAGAGGGAGATTGTAAGTGTAAATGCTGACTGGTTTGAGAAGATACAGAAACAGGATGTGCTACAGCTTAAGGAGTACTTGTTGCAAGTGCTGAAGATGCAGTTGACTGAAGCACTTAGCGTATCCGTCAAGAAGTAGTACAGAGAGTTGTGTTCAGCAAAAGAGCTTAAGGAATCGATCTAATGGGCTGGACATTTGCTTGTAGCTGATGAGGACGAGTCTAGAAGATTCTAGAAGAGTCAAGAGCTGAGTTGGACGAAGATATTAGCAGCTATCAAGCAAGTAGGAATATTTCCTTTTCCTAGAGAAAAATAAGGAAAGAAATATTCTCTTGGAGATTTGGAGTGGTCACCAAGGGAGAAACCTTGTAGGGTTTCAAGGCGTGCCTATTGTGGATAAATAGGGCGTGGAGAGCACTGGATGTGTTCAACCCATACACAACGAAAAGATGCCTTAGCGAAAGGCTTTGGGGTCCTATGAAGATCGCAGCCGTTGAGAGTCTCTAAGATCGTGGATAGATCTAGAACTCTAAGATCGTGGATAGATCTAGAACATGGCGGTGTTGCTCCGGTGCTGCCGGATGATAGTCAATCATGCGGGGTTGATATCTATCTTCATAGCTTATCCATCTAGAAAAGAATGGTAGGCATTGTAGTGCTGGATACCATATACAATTGTAATTGTACTCTTGTTCTAGTGGATTTGATCTGGACTAGGTCCCGGGGATGTAGGAAACGAACCTCGTTAAAAAACTCTCTGTGTTCTTTACTTTATGCTCGTACATACTCATAACACACATGAACGTATAGATATAGGCACAATATGAACTTTCAAATCATTTATCTTACATATCAGTCACGACTTACAATTATTTCTACGTAACTACATACTGTATTAATTATTATTTTTCTTACAACAGATCCAATTAATTAATGTGATTACAGATTGTTGCTTACTCCTGAATCCTTTCTCAGAATAGATTTCAATGGTCTTAGAGACATGACATCATGCTCGAATGAACCAAAGCTTCCCTTCGATGACTTCTTCTTGATTCTCCTTGAACTTATTCGTATCTCATCAACTTCTTCTTTTATGCTCACAATTTTTCTTGGAGACTTTTCTTTTGGTACGCGTAAATTTTCTTGTTCTTCATCGACTGATAGCAGGTCATTGTTTTGCATGTGATGATCAGAATTTTGCTCATTTGATTCAACTGTACCAGGTGGTAGCGGGTGGCCAAGAGCTACATTCTTGAAAGCTTGTGTAGATAATAACTTCACCAAGAAACCATAGAATCGTCCACAGATTGAGAGAGGGTGTTCATTTTCATGCGTTTTGTTTCCCAATTTTTGATGGAGTGAAAAGAAAAGCATGTTTATGGTTTTGGAAGATTCTGTTTCGTTCAAAATGTAAGAAAAAAAAATGAAGAAGCAATCATCTATCGTCGATGATCAAGATCTGGTTAACTTGTTAGAGTGGACAACTTTGAGAGGGAATAAAAGATCGCAAGAAAGTCCTTAACTGAAATATGATAATAAGAAGCAAAAAAAAATTGATGATAAGGTTTCTGTTTGTTTCTTGATCTAGGGGATCAATAATTGATCATGAAAATAAAAAAATCTGAAGAAAGTACCAAAACTATGTGCCAAGAAAAGTTAATTCGTTATTTGTGTGGAAAGAACATTATCACAACTACAAAGAACAGAATAAATTTCAAGTCATCTTCACGTTAAGGATCCAATAGTTTAAAATAGAAGGGTACTTTTGGAGGCAAATTTACATATTTATAGTTGAACATTGTGGGAAAAAACATGTATGACAATTGACAAATAATTAAAAAAAAAAACGTAACAAAGAAAAGTATTGGGTGCAGCCATGGATTCTGAAGGTAAATTTCATATGGAGTAAAAGGATGGTAACGTATTTTTAGTATATGCATCATATCTAGTCTGTGCGATTAAGCCTATAAGACTTTGTTATAGACCAACCAAAATGTCATAATCATCTCCTCACCATTATCCTGTTCTAAATAATAAACGACATATATTTTTTTCAAAACTTGGAATGTCTACTCAAAGATGAAGATTTGGTTGATTTGGTTCCTTCCTTGGTACCAAGGCTTTAAAGAAACTATTATTCCTGAGAAATCTGATATAGAATCTAAGTTCCAAGTGTGTACCAATTATAACATAGATAAAATTTTAATTACATACCATGACTACTGGATTTTAATTTTGAACTCACGAAGAGAGGCTTAACCTTCAACCAGCTTGGCCATAAGCAATGTAATAAATTGATGAACAAACTCATTGTATGAGCTCCATCATTATCTTTGTTTTGAATAACCTTGTGTCTTTTGACTTTTGCAGGTGAAAACATCTCTCACATTCATCAGCTTACCACATAGGGGATAAACATCATACGTCTCAGCGTCTCTCACATTCTTTGCCGCCGATAATCATTGTCATTTGAAGAAGAAAAGTATTAGATGTAGTTAGGTGTCAATTTAATTTAAAACGAGTATTTCGAGGTTCCAAGAGAACTTACAACTACACACTTAGTTGATTCTCCCTCGGTCAGCATCACTGTCTTTGTTGTTGCGTGTGCATATGTGGTGTAAAAATCGAAATGCATGGAGTTTTAGTAGTTCTCTCTCTCAAACGTTAGAATATGATGATGCATAGTATCTTTACACGTGTGAGTGCCATTTATCTCAACCACCTTTTGATTTCAGAATTTTCTCACTATATAATGACATATGTCCATTTGTTGAGTATGATTGAGAGAAAACTATAATGCCTAACCTTCATTCTGTTTATATTAGGCTTTTCACAATTTCTTGATCTCATTGAGCCGGATTAAGTTTTATATTCACAAAAACCTAAATCATAGAAAGAATATGAAGTAGAAAAAAAAAAAAAAAAACATAATGTTCTACACTTTTTCTCCTTAAGTTTGAGAATGTTCTTGTGGAGTTTGCCGTCAAAGTATTGATAGTGATTATGGTGTATATACTTGTGAAAATGAAATGGTTAGGTCTTGTTCGTTCAAGATGTGCTCTAAGGAGAGATGTGTGAGATGAAGAACTCAAAGATATACTAGAAGAAGACGATATAACACAAGATGAAAGGCCATTCGATATGATATCAGAAGGAGTGATACTTCATTTTCTTCATAACCATCATCTTCGGCTTTAGGTCAACATAATTTAGAATGAACACAAGCTTTGTAAAGTCTGTGTTTTGCCTTTATTGAACCAAATCTTCATAACCTTGTTTGTAACATGTAAGTTGTAAGGGTATGATTGTAAATTCGTCTGGGACCCCCTTCCCCAAGGAATAAACCAATCCGCCGTCGTCTTTCCTAAAATCTCAATTTCAAACCTAAACCCATTATTATTATTATTTTATTTTCCAATTGAAGAATATTCACATTTCCAAATTATCCTCTTCTTCTTCGTCTCCGACGCTAATCGATCAAATCCCAATTCTTTGGATTCATTCTTCCTTATTCTTCAGATCCCATATCCTTGTTCACTCTTCGAATTTCTCTCGTCTCTAACCATGAGCGCAATCCATCTTCTCCGGAGATTCTCCATGAAATCTCCTTCTCGCTTCCACAGAAGCCTCTTGTTCTCCAAATCCTCCATGGATTTACCGCCGGATTTACCCAGAAACGCCTTGATTCGTCCCTCCTCACGCTTTCTCTCAACCTATCCCACCGCATTCAACAGCACACAGAGGTTGATTTCTTCATCCAATTCGAATTGGATTTCCGAGAAAGCGAGAAGAATCGGCGTTTCACTAAGAGAACTCTCCACATCCGTCGAAACCAATTCCGGCGACAAGACTTTCGAGAGAATTCATGTTCAGAGTAGTCTGAATTCGAATCCGTTAGTCATCGAAAGGATACACAAAGACGAAGAAACAGTAGGCGAATCAGATTCGAGAGTAGAGATTGGCGAAGTTAAGAATGTAGAAACTCTTGGTGGGAAAGTGAGAGAAGAGAGTGAGGCTGAGAAAGAAGCGTGGAGGATTCTGGAAGACTCCGTCGTCAGGTACTGTGGTTCTCCGGTGGGGACGGTGGCGGCGAACGATCCCGGAGATAAATTGCCGTTGAATTACGATCAGGTGTTTATAAGAGACTTTGTGCCTTCTGCTTTGGCGTTTTTGCTTAAAGGTGAAGGAGATATCGTCAGGAACTTTCTCCTTCATACATTACAGCTTCAGGTATGTATAAAAAAATGTCATTTTGAATGTGAAATGTCTCATTGATGCTATGAAAAAGACACAATCTCAACATTTGAATGTATAGTGATAATGGTGGTTTCTATGATTTGAATAATTTCTGGTTTGCCAAGTGAAATTTGAGTAGATTGTAGTTAAAAGTGTATTTGTTTACAGGTACGTGTATATGTCACCATAATGAAAGCATTTTGAATGTCTCATCAATTTTTGAAAAGAGCCATAATTTGAACATTTTGAATGTTATAGTGATTATGGTTTCTATGTTTTGAATCAAGTAATTTGGTATAAATGTCATCATAATTGAACCCTTTTGAATTTGAATGTCTCATTGATGTTCTAAAAGAGATAGATTTTGAACATTTTGAATGTATATTGGTTATGGTTTCTATGTTTTGAATCGACTAATTTGGTATAAATGCAATCATACTTGGAGCGTTTTGAATGTGAATGCCTCATTGATGTTCTAAAAGAGATATAGATTCTGAAAATTTAAACTGTATAATCATTAGATTCCTATGGTTTAAATGAACTAATTCTGGTGTCGAGGGTTATTTTGTTCTCGGCATTGTGGTTTGTTATTGATCCCATGTGTGATTCAAAAACCTTTGTTTGCTTGTTGAAGAGCTGGGAGAAAACTGTAGACTGTTACAGTCCTGGACAGGGCTTGATGCCTGCGAGTTTCAAAGTAAGAACCGTGGCGCTTGATGAGAACACTACGGAAGAGGTGTTGGATCCAGATTTTGGTGAATCAGCTATTGGTCGTGTAGCTCCTGTAGATTCTGGTCAGTAGATTCTCTTTAAGCATATGTGATTCACTATTCTTTGAGAGTGTCACAGTGACTGATGATTGTTTCCATCATCATTCACAGGTTTGTGGTGGATTATCCTCTTAAGAGCATATGGGAAGCTAACAGGAGATTTCTCATTACAAGAGAGGATAGATGTACAAACAGGGATTAAGCTCATCATGAACTTGTGTTTAGCAGATGGATTCGATATGTTTCCAACGCTTCTCGTCACCGACGGTTCTTGTATGATTGATCGTCGAATGGGTATTCACGGCCACCCTCTCGAAATCCAGGTACGTTTCTTCTTCTCCTGTTTATCCATTTGAACACCATTGATTCATATATATGTTTGTGAGACACTGAGACTCTCTTTGAAATGCATTTGCAGTCTTTATTCTACTCAGCACTCAGATGCTCACGCGAGATGCTTCCTGTCAATGACAGCTCCAAGGATCTAGTAAGAGCCATTAACAACAGACTAAGCGCACTGTCCTTTCACATCAGAGAATACTACTGGGTGGACATCAAGAAGATCAACGAGATATATCGTTACAAGACGGAAGAGTACTCGACGGACGCAACTAACAAGTTCAACATCTACCCTGAGCAAATCCCTCCGTGGCTCATGGACTGGATCCCGGAGCAAGGAGGGTATCTCCTCGGGAACTTGCAGCCTGCGCACATGGACTTTAGGTTCTTCACGCTCGGTAACTTTTGGTCTGTTGTTTCTTCCTTGAGCACACCGAAGCAGAACGAAGCTATATTGAACTTGATTGAAGCTAAATGGGACGATATTATTGGGAATATGCCTCTTAAGATCTGTTACCCTGCGTTAGAGTACGATGATTGGCGCATAATCACTGGAAGCGACCCAAAGAACACGTGAGCTTTGCTTTCTCCTTCTTGCACTCTCTTTATCCAAAGAATCATGTGTTTGCCTTTAACTATTTGGTTGAACGAATCTTGAAAAATACTTGTTAAAACTTTGCAGGCCTTGGTCGTATCACAACAGTGGATCTTGGCCAACACTTCTTTGGCAGGTATGCTGATATCAGTGAGACCACAAAAGTGAATTAGGGGCAGGTTCTGGTCTCTAATTGGCTTTTGTATGTGTTTTGATTTTGGTGACAGTTCACGTTAGCGTGTATGAAGATGGGAAGGCCAGAGCTAGCTGAGAAAGCACTTGCACTGGCTGAGAAGAGACTCATGGCGGATCGTTGGCCGGAGTATTACGACACTCGTTCAGGGAAGTTCATCGGAAAGCAGTCCCGGCTTTACCAGACGTGGACGGTCGCCGGATTCTTGACTTCTAAACTCCTACTCGCAAACCCGGAGATGGCGTCTCTGTTGTTCTGGGAAGAAGATTACGAGCTTCTTGACATCTGCGTCTGTGGTCTCAGCAAAACTGGCCGGAAAAAATGCTCAAGAGTCGCCGCCAAGACTCAGATTCTTGTTCGGTGAGTAAATGAACAATCCAATCTCAAAAAAAGCTTTTTTAGGCTTAAGATCTTGCAGGTATTGCAAAAATTTTACAGAAACATGACTGTTACAAACATATTGATTATCTGTTTGTATATATTACATAAGATTGCAACAGACATGTTATATCAAGTACTACAAAAAAAAGTCTACTACAATAGATTCTTGTTCCAACATTCCATTCTCAAAAAAAGCGTTTCTAGGCTTAAGATCTTAACAGGAATTGAAAATTTAAAGAAACCTGACTGTTACATATCATATTGATTGCATATATTACATAAGATTGCAACAAACATGTTATATCAAGTCCTACAAAAAAAAGTTTTACTACAAAAGATTCCAAGTCGTTAAAGGATCTTGATTCCAACATTACACCACAATGTTTAAGAGAAAGTTAGGGACTTTGCAACTTTTTACAGGTGATGAGTCTTGGGCTTCTTAAGAATCTTCTCATTAGCACCACTAGTGTTTTGGGCACTGCACTGTTGAGGAGATGGTGGGTAGTTGAAACCTGGCATCGCAAAATTTACCTGTGGCCTAAAAAATTTCGCTGTTCCACCAACAAATGGTGAAGAAGAAGCAGCTCCATTTGCTTTATTTTGGTCACTTTGTCTCTGTCTTTGTTGTTGAGCAGAAGATGGTATCCATGTATTCTCTGTAGCAACAAAAACATGACCACAGTTTGGACAGATTATGGCTTTGTCAAGATAACGTTGTTTCACATACTCTCCTCTAGTCTTGCATCCATTGCACATTGTCCAAAAGGTAGGTGCAGGTGCAGGCTTTGGCTTAGCACTAGAAGAAGCTCTCTTTTTTGGATTTGGCACTGGTTTTGGCTTCTTAGCCTTTGCACTCGTATCCACACCATTTCTTGCAGTTTGGTTGCCATTAGTGGTTGCTTCTTTTGGCTTGTGAGCATTCGCATTAGGTGGTTTTGGCATCCCATTGGTGGTTGCTGCTTTGGGCTTCCTCTTTAGATCATAATCGTCTCTCTTGACCTTATCAGAAAGCAAACACCAAGCTTGTGAAACCAGCTTAAACGCACCTTCAGCTCCTTTGAACTTGTTCTTGTCTGGATGAAGCAGAAGAGCCAACTTCTTGTACTGTTTCTTGACTGTTTCATCATCAGCCAAAGGATCATCAATACCAAGAACTCCGTACCAATCAGCTTTTCCTCCATCGATGTAAACGTTGATCATCATCAAGAACTGTTTCAAACCATCGAGATTTGGGTACAAAGTCTCTGCCTTTTTGACGAATCTCTTTGCCCCATCGTAATCACTTTGTGAAAGCTTCTTCTCTGCAATGTCCAATGCCCTTTTAGCTTCGTCTTTGTTACACTCCATGTTCTCTGGAAATGTTTTTCGTCACCTATGAGCAAAATTTCATAAATTAGAAGACCCACAAACAAAGAATCAATTTTTTCTTCACATTTGCACCAAAACAAGAATTAAGCTGTCGACATTTAATGTTTGAGAAAGTTGTTTAACCATAAATTAAAGAACAGTATCGACTTTTCTTCAATTTTCACAGAAAAATATCAAAAAGTTTGGACTTTTAATGTTTACGAACACTATACAGATCAATAGGGACGAATCTAGTTTGGGTTTGCCATGAAAAACCAAAGTAAAGTCGATAGATAATCTTTTCCACAAATTCGAAAGTTTCAAAGAGAATAGCGAAGATGGGCAAGTAGATTTAGACGAATTTCGTACCTTTTGGAACGTGACAATGGCGACCAGTGAAGAAAAAGCTGCGACTAGAAGAGAGGTCAATTTACTAGTAAAAAATCTATCTAAGAGATTTGTTATTTTAATGAGATTTGTTATTTTAATTTTCCTTTAAACTCCGGAAGCGTAGCCAACACGAGCTTCGTGTTTATTTTAATTAATTAAAATTTAACTGTTTTCCCATCAGAATATCTATCGTCAGAATATCCAATTTTTATATAGATCTCAGTAGATTTTCATTTTAATTCATTTTTAGAAAAAAAAACATTTAGTATGGTAACAAAATATGAATTTTGTTACCATACTTTTTATTTGACTTTCATTTTAAATTTCATTCTTAATACAATCACAGTGTTGATATAATTTGTGATTTTAAATTATTAAGGAAACATATAGTATGGTAACAAAATAATATAATACACCTATATTCAAATAACATTGAACATGGTAAGTGTGTTTTGATTGTTGACCAATAAACGTGACTGAAATTGAAAACTTGACTATATATACGTTTCCACAATATCAACTAGGCATGGGTCTTTGGGTTTCGGTCCGGATTTGGGTTGGTTCTATTTGGGTTCGGGTCTTTTCGGGTTGCTAAATTATAGATTCGTTCGGGTTTAGGAAAATTTCGGTTTGTTTTCGATTCGGTTCCGGTCAGGTTCAGGTTCGGGTCGGTTCAGAGCTAAATTTTATGGACCCATTCGGTTTATACAAATTTTGGTTCTTATTCGGTTCTGATTCGGGTCGGTTTTTATCGGTTTTTGAACCGAATATATAAAATTCTATCAAATAACCGAAAAACTTGTCTTTACTCCATCTTCTATTAAATGTTTTTGGACTTTTCAGATATATTAGTTATTTTGTTCTAAATATAACTATTATATTAGATTTATAATTGTAATTTTAGTTACTTTTTATTATTATAAGTCTAAAAAATAACTAATATTTTGGATATATAATTATATTTTATATATTTCAGGTACCCATTTGATTCCGGTTCGGATTCGGTTTTTTCAGATATAAGAATTTTGATCCATTGGGTGTTTATCTCGGTTCCGGTTCAGTTCCATCTTTTTGGGGTCAGGTTCGGTTCGGGTCTTCGGGTCCGGGTAAAATGCCGAGACCTAGTATCAACTAGAAAAATCGCCATGTGTTCGATTGAAATTGAACCGGCGACCAACTGCCATAATAAAAGTTCGTTGTCTTGAACGAAACTACAGTCACCAGATAATAACCGGTGGTTGAGACTTGAGAGATTGGACGAAAATCAAATTTTGGTATCTAAATTCACTAAAAGTATTTCAATTTTTTTTTCTAATTCACTCCAACAAAATGTTGATTCGATTGAGATCTTGATGATAAGTTTGTAGGGAAGACACGATTATTTATTATTCTTCATACCTAAGTCTGCGGTCTTGGCAAAACCAGCCTAAAGAAAGGCTCCCAAGTCGCAGCCAAGACTCAGACTCGTGTTCGATGAATGCAAAAACATGGTCTCTTTGCTTCTCAAAACATTCCAGTCTCAAATAAGCTTTTTAGACTAAGATCTTATATTAAGTTTTAATGATATGAAATATTGGCCACCATTTGCTTTATTGTTTCAAGACCCCCAAAATCTCAGTTAATTACTTCTACAAAACCTATTCAATAGAAAATTACAACAACAAAAAAAGTTGATAAAAACAAAGATTTCAAAAATCTTGTATAAAAACAATATAAATGATCTTGACTATATTACAAGGCTAAAATTAGCAGATAACATAAAAAAAAAACTTTGAACACAAAAAGGAAAAAAAAATAGAGAAAAACAAAGATTCCACGTCGTGTTAGGATCATGATTCCAACACTACACCAAAATGTTAAAGAGAAATTCACATTGACGATGAAAAGAGGACTTGCCCTAGTTCCACAGTGATGAGTCTTCTGCTTCTTAAAAAACTTCTCTACATGATCATAAATCACTTCTTTAACCACTGCATTGTTGTTGTTGAGGAGATGATGAGAAGTTACTTGCATTGCCTCACAAAACTTTACCATGGAGACTTCTCCATTGCAATGAAAACCTGACAGCTGTTTGGACAAAGATCACTATCCCTCATATACTCACCTCGTGTCTTGCATGCATTGCACACTGTCCAAAAGGTAAGCCCATGCGCATGCTTATTGCTTCTAGCAATTCTCACTCGCAGCCTCACTAGTCACCACTCGGATCAACACCCGCATTTTCATTTCCATTAGGGTTTGGTGGTTTCTGCATCTGAGTGTTTGCTTCTTTCGACTTCCTCTTTTCATCATGAGCATTTCCTTTTATCTTATCAGTTAGAAAACACCAAGCTTCTAACCAAAATAGGAAACTAAATTGTTCTCCCTTCCTTCAATTTGTTTTTTTTTTTTTTTTTTTTTGTAACATCTGATTATATTAGATTAAGAGCATCTCCAACCCCATGCTAAATATGACATATATGCTATTTTGCCATAATTTTTGCTCCAACCCAATTGCATATGCTATTGCAAAATAGCATCATGCTATTTTTGCTTCTATATTTGGCATGAGATTATGCAATATGCTATTTTGCCATTGAACTTTTTTATTTATAAAATAGTCCTTCAATTTGTAATTACTTTTAATTTAACAGTTTAATTATATTGATTATGATTTATTTAAATAAATAAACAATACTCATAACTTTTTCAAAATATAAATAATATTTATTTCATAGAAATATAAAAACATAACCATAATAAACTTAAAATTTTATTTTTAAAAATACTGAAATTCAAAAAACATAAAACAATAGGTTAAAATCTTTGTTTTCTATAATTTTTATGTAATATGATGTATTTTGTTTTAATATTATAATAAAAAAAATAAAAATAAAAATAATTCTGGTTGTTTTTGCAAAAAAAGAAAAACAAATGATTCACTTTGTAAAATTTGAAGAAATCAAGTAGTTTTAACAATTAATAATAAGTTGGAAAAAAATTATAGCATGATATATGACATGAGGGGTTGGAGAGAAACCCAATGCTATTGTTATATTTTTGCCATTTGCAATAACATATGGCATGAGGGGTTGGAAATGGTCTAAATAGTATAAGGGAAATACAAATAATTTACGAACCAAGGTGGTGGAGTTTCATAAGTAAGAGAAGATATTGAAGAATCATAGTAAACATACTTTGAAAGAACATCCGCTGCTTGGTTCCTTTCCCGATTCACATGATCCAAAGATGAGAGAGGTAGTTTCTGTATCCAATGACGAATATCATGGATCAGGTTACCTAGCTCCACATGTTCCTGTTGCCGATTGACGATGGTTGTAAGTTCCTTGTTATCACCTTCAAACCAAACTTGTCGCCATCCTCTACTCCACATTCATTGGACAACATATAGAAACCCAGATGCTTCAGCTTCCAACACAGATTTCACCTGTTTTAATTTAGCCCAGCCGGAGTCCAGGTAAGTACCCTTCCAGTCACGAACTATCCAACCTACCCGCATGTAATCCCTTCCTTCAATTTGTTATTATCTAAATTGTGGTTTAGTAATAATTAAGAACTCTTTATGAACAAACCAAAATATAAATTACGAGGGATATGAGTCATGGTGGAACCCACCAGTAACTTTTGAAGTAAGACTGACTTTGAAAATGCTCTAACATTGTAAAATATTCACGTTATTAGATCAAGAATAACCCAAAAGGTTCGAAGGAAATTTCTAGGAAGACCACTTACTATCTTTTTGTTTTTTTCCTTCAAGATAAAGATTTGAAAGCTTTGGTTGTGGCAAAGCTTTTGGTAACAACCAAAGCTTTTGGTAATTCAGACGCTATTCTCATTAATAACTTCGGAATTGTAACATACTTTACTCGCATATTTTATGATTTTGAAATTATGCGACTTTGAAAATAATTTAAATGTTTTAAAAATCGACTCTCATCTTTAACACACTGAAACTCTATTAGATTGAAAATAAACAATAAAATGTAAAAATAAATTTCAAGGATGTCAATTACAAGATATTATTATTTTTATTTGATTTGACAAGTCAGGGTAAATCTCAGGCCTATGAAAATCTATGAAAAGTATGAGATACTAGGAGATGATATGTTATCAACTTAAATCAAACTTTTCAATCATGATTTTATTGAAATAAGAAAAAACTCATGAACGAAATATATGAGTCACAATGGAACCCAATCGCAGCTTTTGAAGTATGTTTGACTTTTAAAGTTTCTCTCATACAATTTGTTAAATAAAGAAAGAATAAACCAAAATGTTAGACATAATTTATGTTTTAGGAAGATCATTTTCTATTTTTCATCTTCGTTTCATTTTGTTATCAACTTTAAAACTAATCCTAAATGTTGTTTCACGAAAACAAAAATATCCATGAACGAACCAAAATAAGAAAGATTATGAGAATACGAGGGTTGTTAACTACATGCAACTTCTTTATTAATTAATTATGGTTGGTTCGACTGAAATGAAATTTTGGGTCGATTGAAGGCCTAAGCCGCAGCCAAGACTCAGATTCGTGTTCCATGAGTGCAAAAACATGGTCTCTTTGCTTCTCTGACCATTCCAGTCTCAAAACATGGTCCATGTTTTTTTTTTTTTTTTTTTTCCTTTCTCCTTTTCTCTGATCCGTCTATTACAAAAAAGCAATTATTATATGAGCCAAAATTTCTATCCAGCAAAAGATATATGATCTTATATGAGCCACCATTTTCTCTATTGTTTTAAGACCTCCAAAATCTCAGTTACTTCTACAAAACCTATTCAATAGAAAATTACAACATAAAAAAATAAGTTGCTAAAAACAAAGATTTCAAGTCGTGAAAGGATATTAATAAATCCTTTATAAAAAAGAAACAAAGAACTTGATTATATTTACAAGGCTAAATTTAGCAGAAACTATAAAAAATTTGACCACAAAATTATTAGAGAAAAATAGTAGAGAAAAAAAAAAATTCCACGTCGTGTTAGGATCATGATTCCAACACTACACCAAAATGTTTAAGAGAAATCACGACGTTACACAATGACGATGAAAAGAGGACTTGCCCTAGCTAGTTCCACATTAATGTTTTAGTAATCCCTGAAAGGTAAAAAAGCAGTTTATAGGTGATGAGTCTTCTGCTTCTAAAAAAAACTCTCTACGTGATCAAGTTCCACTTCTTTAACAAACTCACCAATTATTAATTTTGATAATAAATAAGTACCACAACTTGTATTTTGGGCACTGCATTGTTGTTGAGGAGATGATGAAAAGTTTACTTGCCATTGCCTCACAAAACTTTCTCATGGAGACTTCTCGGTTGCAATTAAAATCTGACAGCAGTTTGAACAAAGTATAGCCTTGTCAAGATCACTATCCCTCATATATTCACCTCGGGTCTTGCATCCATTTAACATTGTCCAAAATGTAAGCCCAGCTGCATGCTTATTGCTTCTAGCATTCTCATTCGCAGCCTCACCACTTGGATCAACACCCGCATTTGCATTTCCATTAGGGTTTGGTGGTTTCTGCATCTGAGTGTTTGCTTCTTTCGACTTCCTCTTTTGATCATAAGCATTTCTTTTTATCTTATCAGATAGCAGACACCAAGCTTCTAACAAAAAAAGGAAACTGAATTGTTGTCTTCCTTCAAATTTTTATTATCTAAATTGTGGTTTAGTAATAAGAACTCTTTATGAACAAACCAAAAATAGCTCTCCAAACGCTGTCAGGCACGAGATTCTAGGTGACCATTATCCGCTGGTTTCTAGCTTGTCCCAAATCTCACCCACCGTGCTTTTGCCAAAAATGGAAGGTTTTTTTGAAAAATACCACTCCTGGTTTTTAGAAACCGTGGTTCCGCCCCCGACTTTGGTCGGAGGTTCCGTTGCAGCTGCAACTCCGGCACACCTTCCACCCATCGAACCTACAAAACACTCTGGTATGAAACTCATATCTAAATTTGCTAACCTAAAAAAAAAAAAAAAAAAAAAAAAAAATTTGCTAACCTCAAAGAGTGTATTAAGGTGCACTCGGGTGTGTTTTGAACTTTTCAGAAACTATTTGGAAGAACTATATCTTTCAAAAAACTCTCACCCTAGTGGTGTTGGAACTCTATAAATCTACAGTCAAGTCAAGCTCAGCAAGCTAAAGCAACAAAATGGCGAGACGTTTTACTCAAGCAGAAAAAGAGAAGAGCTTAGCACCTCCTACTGAACCACCACGAGTTGGAAGAGTAAAAGTCCCTGACTTTGACAACTCAGACCTGATGAAGCAACACAATCTAACCATAATCGGAAGAGTAAGAAACCCGAAGATCCAGCGCTTATGGTCACTCCTTCCCTTCTTCACTGAACACTGGAAGACAAGCTCACCTCCTGTCGGAGCAGATCTGGGTTAGGGATCTTTTCAGTTCACCTTTGCAACAAAAGAAGATATGTAAATGGTCCTGGAAAACAGACCTTACCACTTTGCACACTGGATGTTCATCATTCAACAATGGGAGCCGACAGTCTCCAAATCCTTCCCCTCGCAAATTCCCTTTTGGATAAAAGTCCAAGGAGTTCCAGTTCACATGTGGAATGAGGCCATGTTAAGAAGCATCAGAGAAGATTTGGGTACTTTTGAAAGTTCGGAAATAACAAAGGCTCACGCCAAAATGAGAGTTCATGTCAATGGACTCTTACCTCTACTCAAAACATACACCCTGGGATTTGCTAATGGAGATGAAGTGATAGCTACACCCGTGTATGAAAAGTTGGAGAAGCACTGTAGCCATTGCTCGCTTCTGGATCATGAGATAGAGGAAGGCCCAGAACTGACAAAGGGAGATGAGGAAACTCGACATCTACCTCCACTACCACAGCAAAGAAGAAATGAGGTTTTCATCTGCAATTTACAAAGCTCAGGTGTCAAGCATAAGAGAGATGAAGTAGTGTACCCAACTGAACGAAGGAAGGCGCTCGATACCTAGGAACAAAGGGAGCTAAGAGAACGGCCTCATTACGTTTCTCACACTCCGACAGAAATAGATACTCTGATAACCATACCGGGTCTACAGGAAGCTATCACAGGAACCGTTCAGCTCATTACGGACGTGTACAGAGATGGGTTGAGACAGGCAGAATCTCCAATTCCATTCTAGCACTCTGCAAACAGAGATAGAAGCTTGGGAAAGAGTCCAGAACTGAACAGAGGAATCCTAAGTATGGAGAATAGGAGCTTACATCAGGAACAAGGCAGATCCCCAGTTGAGTCGTCGCACTCCAGGAGATCAAACCGTCTTGATGAAGTGAGAACCCCAAGGAATGAATTACCCACCAAAGCTTTTAAGGGAAGCAAGAGGAGAAGTGCGTGAAGTTATGGCTCAATATGCAAACTGTGCTGATCCAAATGAAGCGCGGCGAGGAAAGAGAGATTGAGAATAGCAGAAGAACGATGAGAATTTGATCAAATGGCAGAACAGATGGTAAGACACTCCATCCGTGCTCAAAATCAAATTCAAGAAGAGGAGCATCTGGAACCCCTCATGCATGAAAGAGTCCATGCAACTCTGCGACTTGGTCCAGTTCTAACAGAGATCCCTATAACGGAAGAACCACCAAGGGTACCGGCAAAGAAACCACTAGGAAGACCACCTAACAAGAAAAAAGCAATGCCGCTATCATTACCAGAAAGAGCATCAAGTTCAAAGATAAGAAAGATGGCACAAATTAAAATATCACCAAAGAGGAGATATGCAACCGGAAGCACATCAAGAAGGAAAAGTCTGAACTTATCTGGTCCAACTCAATCACAGACATCCCAAGAACCCGGAATGACGAAAGAGCCTCCTCATTGCAACATAGTCCCGGCAACCTCGAAGAAGAAGATGGATTTTCAGAATCCATCCCATCTTCCACCTTAAAGATTCTGAGCTGGAACTGTCGTGGTTTGGAGAATCCCGCGGCAGTTCGTAGTCTACAGGAAATCAGAAAGAAACATGATTTTCTTGAGATAATATTACTCATGGAGACAAAAAAACGGAAACACCTTCGTTCTCAAAGAGCTGAATCAGTTAAACTATGACCACATAGAGGTGGGGCCACCATACGCAAGAGGAGGAGGAGGTCTAGCCCTACTCTGGAAAAAAGAAATTGAAGTTAATATCCTTTACAAATGCGACCACTTTATAGACACTGAAGTGAGGTATAAGGGAGAAAAATTCTATGCCACCTTTGTCTATGGAGACCCGGAAAAAGACGGAAGAGCAGAAATATGGAGAGCAATCAAAGAGAGATCTGAAAACCGTGAAGCGCCATGGTTCCTCACAAGAGAGTTTAATGAGATTCTCGACAATTCAGAGAAGAAGGGCGGACCAGCAAGGGCGGAAGGCTCCTTTGTTGATTTTCAATCCTTTATGTCAGGATGTGACCTATTTGATTTGAGATTCTCGGGCAACTTCCTATCGTGGAGAGGCAAAAGACGAAATCATTTAGTGAGATGCAGACTTGATAGAGCAATGGCTAACAGCTACTGGATTGAAGCTTATCCGTATGGCCGAAAGTAATATTTAAAATTTGAGGGATCTGATCATAGACCCTTAATCTCTTTTTTCAAGTTGTTAAGAAAAAGAAAAAAGGGCTCTTTCGTTATGATAGAAGTCTGAGAAACAATGAAGAGGTTAAATTGTTGATTGAAGAGAGTTGGAACACAAACCCTCGAGCAGGTGTGGAGATGAGAATATCCAGCTGTAGAAAAGCTATCATTCAGTGGCACCGGAACCATCATCTCAATAGCCAAAAAAGATAGAGGAAAAAAGAAGAGAGTTAGAGGAAGCCATGACAAGCAATGATTCAAATGACAATGCAATCTTTCAGATTAATAAAGAGCTAAAAGGAGCTTACAAGGCAGAAGAGGAATACTGAAGACAACGCAGTAGACAAATGTGGCTCAGCCTAGGAGACAAAAATAGTGGTTATTTCCATGCTGCAACTAGAGGAAGAAGAGCACGGAATAACATCTCGGTGTTTGAAGATGATGAAGGAAAGACAGTCTATGAGGAAGCAAAGATAGCAGAAGTAATTACAAATTACTTTGAGAAAATGTTTACCTCTCAGACGGGATCCAGAGCGGAGGCAGTAAATCAGGGTATCAAACCAAGTATCTCGACTGAAACCAATAGACGTCTAACTCAGATACCAAGTCCACAAGAGGTTAATGCAACAATCTTCTCAATCCATCCAGATAAGGCTTCGGGTCCGGATGGCTTCTCAGCTAGCTTCTTCCACTCTAATTGGGAAACAATAGGAGAATGAATCACTTTAGGGCCACTACACCCAAACAAGTCTGCACCTACCCAAACTGGGGCCACTACACCCAGGGGCTTGCCAACCGCTGCTTATACTGGGGCCACTACACCCAAATAAGTCAGCCACGACTTATACTGAGGCCACTACACTCAGCTAAGTCACTCATACTGAGGCCACTACACTCAGATGAGTCTGCCAGAGAACGAAGTCTCCAAAACGTAATGAGTTATTCAGGATCGCAATCCTTAGAGTAAAAATTCCAAAATGTCTATAACCATAAGATTAGACCGTCTCACAACCAAAAACTGGTCAAACATGTGTAACATCCGAATACCATTCACAACACAAGGCAAAATGAGGAAAAACTGCATCTCATTAAAACTCCAAAATGTATATCGTTACAACGAAAACGAAAATACAATAACACCAAAGCCAAAAAAACAACTGAGGCTACAAAGATGAAATAAGCTCACTCCTCGACCTGCTTGTCGAACCACTTCCTGAACTTCAACTTCATCTTTGCCTCTGGCTCCCAAGTCTCCTCTGTAGAACCACTGCAATCCCACAAAATCCTCAGTAAGGGAATCCTCTTGTTCCTCAGAACCTTTTCCCTCCTCTCTAAAATCCTCACAGGCACTGCCGGCACTGTCAAATCTGGCTGAAGATCCTCTGGAATCCTAGCCACTAACTCCTCTGTAGGGTGAAGACACTTCCTCAGCATCGACACATGAAAAACCTTGTGAAAGGCTTTCATAATCTCAGGCAACTCCAGCCTGTAAGCCAATGGCCCAACTCGCTCCACTACTGGAAACGGACCCATAAATCGCGGACTCAGCTTGTTCTCTGCTATGGATCTGTTAGGACCCCTCAACATAGCCATCTTGAGATAAACTCTATCTCCAACCTGAAACTCAAGCTCTCGTCTGCGTCTATCTGCATAACTCTTCTGCCTATCCTGAGCCTCCTTCATGTTCAGCCTCACAACACGAACCTTCTCTGTCGTCTCCTGAACATAAGTAGCTCCATACATGCTGCGCTCCCCCACTTGGGTCCAGCATAGGGGTGTCCTACATGGCCTCCCATACAAAGCCTCAAATGGAGCCATGCCAATACTCGCCTGAAAGCTGTTGTTGTATGCAAACTCAACTAAGCTCAGGTGATCTGCCCAATGGCCACCCCAATCCAACACACACATCCTCAGCAAATCCTCCAAAGTCTGAATAGTCCTCTCTGACTGACCATCTGTCTGCGGATGATAAGCTGTACTCAGATGCACCTTAGTGCCCATCTCTGCCTGAAACGCCCTCCAAAACTCTGAAGTGAATCTGGGATCACGGTCTGACACAATACTAGCTGGCACTCCATGCAGCCTCACAATCTCTCGCACAAACTTCCTAGCCAAGACAGCAGCTCCATCTGTCTTCTTGATGGCCAAGAAATGTGCAGACTTAGTCAACCGATCCACAATCACCCAGATAGCATCGAAAGTCCTCGAAACAGGTAGTCCAACCACGAAATCCATCGTAATCCTGTCCCACTTCCACTCTGGAATGGGTAAACTCTGCAAAAGACCACCCGGAACCTGATGCTCTGCCTTCACCAAGGCACAAGTGTTGCACTTCGCAACCCAGTCTGCTACATCCCTCTTCATCCCGACCCAATGATAGTACCTCTTGAGGTCATGGTACATCTTGGTCGCTCCCGGATGAATGGAAAACTTGCTCGCGTGAGCCTCTCCCAAAATCTGATGTCTCAACTCCACATCCTTAGGCACACAAACTCGCCCACGAACCAAGATAGTCCCATTCGCAGAGACCTCATACTCAGAACCAGTCACTCTCGTCGCATCCAGCAAACTCTGATCACTCTGCTGAGCAACTCTGATCCTGCTAAGTAGATCCGCCTGATCCACTGCCTCTAAACCCAAAGGCTCCTGCGAAATGGCACACAAACGCAAGGTACTGATCTCGCCAACTAGAGACTCCACATCTCGCTCAACTGCGGAATCATACCTCCGTCTACTCAACGCGTCCGCCACTAGGTTAGCCTTGCCCGGATGGTAGTTAATGCTCACCTGATAGTCCGCCAAGAACTCAACCCAGCGCGTCTGTCTCGCGTTCATCATCGGCTGAGTGAAGATATGCTGCAAACTCTTGTGATCCGTGAAGACCTGTACTGTCTCACCTAGCAAGTAAGACCTCCAAATCTTCAACGCGAAGATCACTGCTCCCAACTCTAAGTCATGTGTAGGACGGTTACGCTCACTGCCCTGCCACTGTCTCGAAGCATATGCTATCACTCTGCCCTCCTGCATCAGCACACAACCAAGACCAATGCCTGAAGCATCTGTATACACCATGTAAGGCTTCCCTGGCTCGGGTAACGCCAACACTGGTGTAGTAGTCAACATCTCCTTGAGCTGACTAAAGCTCTCCTCACACTCAGCTGACCAAACAAAAGGGACATCCTTCCCGGTCAACTTCGTCATCGGCTGCGCCATGGTAGCAAACCCCTTGACGAACCTCCTGTAGTATCCTGCCAAACCCAGAAAACTCCTGATCTCGGTGGCACTACTAGGTCTAGGCCAATCTCTGATAGCCTCAATCTTAGCCGGATCCACAGAAACTCCCTCTGCAGAAACAATGTGGCCAAGAAATCCCATCTCTCGCTGCCAGAAACTGCACTTGCTCAACTTAGCAAAAAGCTTCTGCTCCCGAAGCTTCTCCAGAACCAACCTCAAGTGAGTCGCATGCTCCTCCTGACTCCTCGAGTATACCAGAATATCATCAATGAAAATGATGACAAACACGTCCAAATACTCCCTGAACACGTCGTTCATCAATCTCATGAAGGCTGCCGGCGCGTTAGTCAAACCGAAAGGCATAACCACAAACTCAAAATGCCCATAACGCGTCCTGAAAGCAGTCTTCCTGACATCTGCCTCATCTATCGGGATCTGATGATACCCCGATGCCAAGTCAATCTTGGAGAACCAAGTAGCACCCCTCAACTGATCCAACAACTCATCAATCCTCGGGAGTGGGTACCTGTTCTTCACAGTGACTCGGTTAAGACCTCTGTAATCGATACAAAGTCTGAAACTGCCATCCTTCTTCTTCACAAACAACACCGGTGCTCCCCACGGTGAAACACTCGGTCGAATGAACCCCTTAGACAAAAGGTCCTCTATCTGCTTCTTCAGCTCTGCCAACTCAGCTGGCGCCATCCTGTAAGGCGTCTTCGATATCGGTGCTGTCCCCGGCTCTAACTCAATCGTGAAAGGATCAGACCGAGATGGTGGTAATCCCTTCAGTGACTGAAAGACATCCTCAAAATCCTGGACAACCTCAATATCTCCCATAACAACTCCAGCTCCTGACTCAGACATAGAAATCGTCGCCAGATACGCCTCACAGCCCCGCTCTAACAACTGCTCGGCCTGAATAGCAGATATCACAATACTCCCGGAAGTCGGTCTCACTCCCTGATAAACCAACCTCCCTGCATCTCGCTCGAAGACCACTCTACCTCTGTAGCAATCCAGATGAACTCTGTAGTGTGACAACCAGTCCATCCCGAGAATAACGTCATACAGCTCCACCGGACTGATGACTAAGTCTGCTGGCATTGACTGCCCCGCAATCTCGATCTCGACTCCTCTAGCACGGCCCAAAGTAGACAAGAATCCACCTCCCGCCACCTTGACCATGCCCGCGCTCTCGCCCGCGCTACTCCGGATGCCACTCTTCTCGGCACGCTCCGGTGTAATGAAGCAATTCGATGCTCCAGAGTCGAATAAAACGTGGGACTCAAAACCGCCCACTAACAAGGTCCCTACACATTCAATTGCGTTGAGAACCTCCACAAGACTATCACAGATAAAAATGACTAACAGACAATACACAACAACAATTCTATACTAAGAATTTACAAAGTCTGAGTCGAAGATTTACCTGTGATCTGCCCGGTCTGACTGTCCCGCCAGTCTCCACTGAAGAGTAACCCCGCGGCGCTGCAATCTGACCCGCGGCTGCACTGCTGCGATCTGACTCACTGGCTGAGCCGCTACTGGCTGAACCGCTGCCACCGACATACTCGCAACTTAGGACACATGGGCTTGATATGCCCAGGCTCCTTGCAATGTAACACACCCTGGCATCCTGACCGCCTCTCTCCTGGGACAACTCGACGATGCTCCGTGTACTCCCACAACGGTAACAAGCACCTCGAGGAAACTGACTAGCACCAGAAAACTCTCTCTACTCCTCTTCTGACCCTGCGCAGGCAAACCGCCCCTGCCAGAACCAGAACTGAAACTCGAACCACCTCTGCGCTGCTGCTGCTGCTGCCGCGGCTGCTGATGCTGACCCCGAGGCTGGGTAGCAGAAGCAACTGCTGACGGCACAGCCACCGGACCAACTGGCCCACCAAGATCCGCCTCAACCGACGCGGCCAACTCTACCAGACTCGCCCTCGAAGTGTGCATACTACTCCTGCATAGAGTCCGAATATCCTTGCGAAGTCCCTCCAGAAATCTGTTCGTCAACTGATGCTCAGCCTCCATACCAAAGCCCGCATGCACTAACAGACGGCTGAACTCCTCATCATACTCGCGTACAGAACGCGAACCCTGCTCAATGCCCATAAACCGCATCTGAAGACGATCACGAGCCTGCCTCGGGAAATACTTGGCGTTGAACTCCACAAGGAAGTCGCCCCAAGTCCAAAATGCCCTCCGGCCCACCGCGGCCTGCCACCACAAATGAGCATCGCCACTCAAATAGTGGACCGCTAACTCCACCCAGTACTCCTATCGGACAACGGATCGAATGAAAGTTCCGCTCCACTCTCTGACGCCACGCGTCTGCCTCCTCTGGACCAACTCTACCCTCGAAGAAAGGCGTACCAATCTCTGCATGTGGCCCATAAACTCCAAATAACTGGTCACACCCGCATCTGCAGCTGCAGCATGCTGCACCTCTGCCACTGGCGGTACTCCTGGAGCCCCCTGTGGAACCACCGGCGGAAAACGAGCCAACAGCTGCGTCAGCAAACCCCACCACTAAGTCATCACGACCCGGAGCCGGAGCGCCACCCCCACCCGGAGCAGCCCCCGCTCCCAAACCAACACTCGCACTGGCATCACCCGCCAACGGAACTGACTGGGTCACCGACGCAGTATGCACACTCGGTGCCGCACTCTCTCCCGACTCCTCCGGAAGTCCACGACCACGACCTCGGCCTGCTCGACCTCCAGCTCTACCACCAGCTCTGCCGCCACGGCCAACTCTGCCGCCACGACCTCTAGCACCGCGCCCTCTCGCGCCACGACCTCTAGGAGCTCCGTCCATCTCACTGCATGGACCCGAACATGAGCAACTAGACAATAACACAAAACACAAACACCAATAACTAACCGCGGAATCTCCTTTAGCTGAAGGGGATGATACTAAGCCTAGCAATTCTAGCTGTCCTAAAACCGTCTAGGCTCTGATACCAAAATGAAACAACCAACATTTTTTTTTTTTTTAAATAAATTAATCAATTCTAGCGAAGGTCTTTAAATAAATTAAATAAATAAAATATCAATAACAAATAAATCAGCTCAGCGGAAGCAAATAATAATTAAACAAGTCTAGCAAAATAATGCAAAACAATAAAACAGTAAACATCCTATCATCCCCCTCTTCAGCCTTGATTCCGCGATCACACAAATCTTTTACCTGCAACACATTGGAATGGAGTTGCGTAAGTATTTAATAAATACTTAGTGAGGCAATCACTCTGCCTACGAGCCATTTACGCAATTTACTAGATATTTAATAATATTTATAAACTCCAATAATTATTAAATACCATTTTCCAATTATTAAATAATTTTTAATAATTAAAACTCAATTTCTCAATTATTAAATAATTCTCATAATTAAATAATAATTTTCCATATTTTAAAATAATTAAAATAATTATTTTAAACCAATTAATTAAATAAATATTATTTAATTAATTAAATCCGAATTAAATCTATTTAATTCCATTAAACCAATTAAATTCAATTAAACCAATATAACCAATTAAATTCAATTAACAATAACCAATTAAATTCAATTAACCAATAAACCAGAATCAAATCAATTAAATTCAATTAAACCAGATTTAACCACACAAACACACAATTCATCACATAAACAACCAAAATATCATGAAATAACAATTAAACAACAAAACTCATCAAGAACAACCATAAACCAAATCTAATCTAGCAAATCACGGACCCACAGTCATGCACTCACCTTGACAATGGATTGAAACTGAAGGAAAGACAATGAACAGTGCGAATCCCGACGATGAACAGTACCGCCGATGAACATCCGATGAACAGTACCCGATGAACAGTAACCCGATGAACAGTAACGATGAACAGTAACGATGAACAGTGACGATGAACAGTAAAATCGAAAATCTCTCCAAAAACTCCACTTTTCTCCTCTACACTCGAAAATTCCCAAAGAGAAGACGGCTGCACTCTTTAAACTTGATTTTAGGGCTTTCTCCACTAAACCGACCCAAACCAATTCACTTAAATTGAACCGACAAAATTCCCAATTTTTGGTTGATGGATATTACAAAAGCGACTCCTTTGAGTAGTACAATGGTTAATAGATCGCTTGATGTTAACAAGGATCATTTCGACCTATTGAAGATTCTGGAAAAATGTTAGGTCCTGAAGTACCTTACATGAGCGCCATCGGGGCACTTATGTATCTTGCAAATTGCACAAGACCAGATATAGCTTTTGCTACTAATCTGCTTGCAAGATACAGCTCATCGCCTACCAGAAGACATTGGAACGGAATAAAGTATATATTCCGTTATCTTCAAGGTACGATTGAGTTTGGATTATATTATTCAAGAAACCCCGAGGTTGGTTTAGTTGGTTTTGCAGATGCTGGCTACTTGTCTGATCCGCATAAAGCTCGATCGCAAACCGGTTATGTTTTCACATACGGTGGGAACGCGATCTCTTGGCGTTCCTAAAAACAAACAATTGTTGCAACGTCTTCAAACTATGCGGAAATTATTGCTCCATGAACATGTAGAGAGTGTGTATGGTTGAGATCTTTGATCCAACATATACAAGAAGCCAGCGGAGTATCTACAAAGAAAGAGCCAACAACTATCTATGAAGACAATTCAGCATGTGTCACTCAACTCAAAGAAGGTTATATCAAGAGCGACAGGACAAAACACATCCCTCCAAGATTTTTCTCCTACACTCAAGAACTCGAGAAGAATCAAGAAGTGGATATTCAGTATGTTCGCTCAAGTGACAATGCAGCTGATCTTTTCACAAAGGCGCTTCCTACTACAGTGTTCAAGAAGCATGTTCAAAGTATTGGAATGCGTCGTCTACAAGATTTGTGAAGAGAAGACTATATCTATTCTCCAGGGAGTTTACATCACGGTACTCTTTTTCCTTTTCATGGTTTTTATCCCACTGGGTTTTTCCATGTTAAGGTTTTAGTGAGACCGTATATAACTTCACGGTGATAAATAATTAAGGGAGAGTATTGTAGATAAATACAGTAATTATCTCTTTATCCCTTAGTGTCATACGTGTCAACATTTCTGTAAATATCTTGTTGATATGACCGACTCACTTTTAGTATAAATAGAGGAGTGATATATGTTTGTAAGACACCAATTCGAAGAGAATAAAAAAATATTACTCTCTCACACCTCTTCTCTCGTCTCTCTCTTCTCCGGTCCAGTGGTCCCCACCACTTTTTCTTCTTTTATCTATATACATAAAGTTGATGTGATTCTATTCTGGTGGTGCCATCTCAGCAGAAGAGGGTGCTTCTAAATTCTCTAATTTGCCACATCAGCATTTAATTTAATTCATTATATTTTCTCTTTTAAATATTTTAATTTCATAATAATTAGCATTCATTACTATAATAAGTTTAACAAGAATATGAAAAGTCATTACTATAATGAAAAGTCATTTTGAACGGGATGAAAGGGACATAATAGGACGAGAAGGGACGGGACATAAATTTCACCTACCCCTAATTATATTTAGGGACAGGACAGAGACACGACAAAACGGAAAAAAAAAACATAACAGATAGGATGGGACTCGATAGGGCGGACAGGATGGAATGAGACAGGAAAGAACGGGACAAGATGAGAAGGAATGAAATGGGACTGGATGGGACTATACGGGAATTTTGCCTATCCTTAGTTATATTTAGGGAACGGGACGAGAAGAAACGGAAGGAACATGATGGGATATAACAAAATGGAAAGAACATAATAGGATAGGACGGGACAGACAGAAACGGATGGGACGGGAAAGAACGGACATGATGAAAATGAACGAAATGGGATACGATGGAGACAAGACGGTACATTAATTTTGCCTAATCCTAATTATTTTTAATTAATATGTATAATATTTTTGAAACAATAATAAACCACATAAATAAATTAAATTTCGGAAAAACAATAAAATTAACACAAAATTTAAATTCTCGCGCGAAGCACGGATAACCTATTAGTTTAATTAATAGTTTATAACACGAAGGAAATTTCTACTTATTATCTTTTTGTTTTTTCCTTCAAGATAGAGATTTGAAAGCTTTGGTTGTGGCTTTTTGTAATTCAGACGCCATTTTCATTAATAATTTCGAAATTGTAACATCTAGAATACTTTACTCGCATATTTTAAAGTATGCGACTTTGAAAATGATTTAAATGTTGTAAAAATTGACTCTCATCAATAACATACTAAACACTAAAACTCTGTTAGATTGAAAATAAACAAAAAAAGTTAAAAAGAAACGTAGGATGACAACTACAAGATAATATATATATATACTAGAGCGTGTTCGCGCGGATTGTGTTAGTTTTATTGTTTTTAGCAAATTTAATAATTTTTCAAATATATTATACATATATTACTTAAATATAATTAAAGTTAGACAAAAAATTTGTACCGTCTTGTTCCATCTCGTCCCATTTTGTTCATTTTCATCATGTACGTTCTTTTCCGTCATGTCATGTCCAGTCTCATCCTATCCCATTTTGTTATGTCATTTCGTTTCTTCTCGTCTCGTTCCCTAAATATAATTAGTGTTACGCATAATTCTGTTCAATTATGTTCCTTTTCATCTTGTCATATTCTTTCCCATTCCGTTCGCCCCATCCATCTCATCCTATCCTATTATATTCTTTTCCATTTTATCTTCTCTCTCGTCTCTAAATATAATTAGGGTTATGCAAAATTCTTGTCCCGTCCGTTTCCATCCCATTATGTCCCTTTTCATCTCGTCCCGTCCAATCCCATCACATTCTATATTTTTCATTCTGTCTCGTTCAACCTTTCTGTCTTGTCCTCTTTCATCGTGTTTTTTTTTTGTTTTTTTCCCTTCCGCCTCTAAATATAATTAGAGGTACGCGGAATTTATGTATTGTCCTATCCCATTTTTTTATTCCATTTAGATCTCGTCTCGTCACTTAATATAATAAGAAGTAAACAAAATTTCTCTCTTCTCTAGTTCTATTTTTTTCGTCTCGTCATCTTCGATCTCGTTTCATTTCATTCCAAAATACTAAAAAAAGTGTTCTTTCTTTTATTATTATTACTAAATAATAGTTTTTGTAAATTTATAAATAAATTTTGTTTAAATGACTTTTCATATTCTTATTAAGTTACTGTAGTAATAAATGAAAATTATTATAAAAATTAAAATACAAAAAATAAATCGATATGCTGAATTTAGAGATACCCTCTTTTGCTGATGTGGCAACACCATAATAGAATTGTATGAACTTTTTTTTTTTTTTTTTTTTGATTTGACAACTCAGGATAAATCTCAGGCCTATGACTCTCTAGGACAACTACCAAATACTACTAGATATTGTTATCAACTTAAATCAAACCTTATAATAGTGAGTTTATGAAAGAAGAAAAAACTCATTAACAAACCCAAATTAAGTAAAAGATACTAAATATATGAGCCACAGTGGAAGCAAAATATGTTGGACTTTAAAAGTTTCTCTCATACTTTGTTAGATAAAGAAAGAATAAACCAAAATCTTAGACAGAATTTATATTTTAGGAAGATCATTTTTTTATTCATCTTCTTTTCATGTTGTTATCAACTTTGAAACTAATCATAAATGTTGTTTCAGGAAAAAAAACTTTTTATCGATGAACGAACCAAAATAAGAAGATTATGAGAATATGAGGGTTGTCAACTACATGCAACTTCTTTTTTAATTATGGTTGATTTTTTAAGTGCTCTAAATTTTATAGAGAACTTATCTTATCCATAGACAATAAATCTAGTTAAGAATATGGATTGGCTATGATTAAACTAAAATAAAGAAATTGTGATTTAAAATCTTCAAGAAATCATTACTTATCCACAGTAGTAACAAAATAGTATGGGAATAAAATAGTGTAGTACCTAAATTCAAATAACATTGTATAGTATGTGTGTTTTGATTGTTGATAAAAAAAAAGTTGATTGAATTTATATGGGTTTTAAATTTGGGTATCTAAATCCACCAAAAATATTTCAACTTTCTTAAAACATTCCACTGAAATGATGGTTCGATTAAGAACTTGATGTTAGATTTGTACGAAAGACACAATTGTTTATTATGCTTCATACCTAAGTCTGCCGTCTTGAAAAAATCGGCCGGAAAAAAGGCTCACAAGTCGCAGACAAGACTGGGATTCGTGTTCGATGAGTGCAAAACATGGACTCTTTTGCTTCTCAAAACATTCCAGTCTCAAATAAGCTTTTTAGGCTAAGATTATTAAGTTTTAGTGATATGAAATATTGGCTACCATTTTCTCTATTGTTTCAAGAACCCCAAAATCTCAGTTACTTCTACAAAACCTATTAATAGAAAATTACAAAAAATAATAATAATAATTAAGTTGCTAAAAATGAAGATTTCAAGTGGCGAAAGGATCTTAATAAATCCTTTATCAAAAAAAAAAAAAAAAAAAAAAAAAAGGATCTTGATTATATTTACAAGGCTAAAATTAGCAGAAAAAAATGTTTTGACCTAAAACAGAAAAAGATTAGAGACTAACAAAGATTCCAAGCCGTGAAAGGATCATGATTCCAAGTTTCCAACACTACACCAAAATGTTTATGAGAAATTACGATGTTACATATTGACGATAAAAAAGAGGACTTGCCCTAATTCCACAGTGATATTTTACTCTAGAATCCCAGAAAGGTAAAAACGCAGACTTTTAAAACTGATGAGTCTTCTGCTTCTTAAAGAACTTCTCTGCATGATCAGAAACCACTTCTTTAACAAACTCGCCACTTATTAATTACGATGATGAATAAGTACCACAATCTTAAGTTTTGCCAAAAAGAAAAGAAAAAGAGGAACAATCTTGAGAAGAGCAATCACATTCAGAAGAGAAGTCCACCATCTGGCGTCTCCATCCAGAATTCATCGACGAGTTTGTAAAACTCTGCATTATCTTCACTTGTCAATGGACACGATGCGGGAGGTAATGGCTGCTTCGGAACGTGCATGACCAACGTTGTGGATATTAGATTCCTTATGATTGAATCGATGATCTTTACATTCCATCTACGATACAATATATAGAGGTTGCTATACAATAGAGCCGTTAGGGGCTCATAACTATGTTGCCTTATTGACATAACAGAATATATGTATTCCATATTCTAATACCCTCCCGCAGTCAGAACGTGAGGTTCTCGAACGCGAAGACTAGACTTGAACTCATCGAAGAGTGCAGAGGGAAGGCCTTTCGTGAAAATATCAGCATATTGTTGAGATGATGGAACATGAAGCACGCGAACCTGACCAAGTGCAACTTTCTCTCGGACAAACAGAATGTCGAGTTCCACATGTTTCGTGCGCTGGTGTTGAACCGGATTTGTGGACAGGTACACTGCACTCACATTATCACAGTAGACAAGTGTGGCACTGGAGATAGGGCAATGAATTTCAAGGAGTAGATTACGAACCCAAATCGTTTCTGCAACAGCATTGGCTACACCTCGATACTCCGCTTCAGCACTTGAACGTGAGACTGTGTGTTGTCTTTTGGAAGACCAAGAGATGAGATTATCACCAAGGTATAAGCAATAGCCGGAAGTTGAGCGCCTAGTATTGGGACAACCTGCCCAATCTGCATCTGTGTATGCCGTGAGTGTCGTGGTGTTGGACCGAGTGATGTGAAGACCTTGAGTGAGTGTGCCCTTGAGGTAGCGAAGAATGCGTTTTAATGCATTGAAATGAGGTTCCCGTGGGGCGTGCATGTATAGACAGATTTGGTGTACAGCATAAGCTATGTCCGGTCGTGTAAACGTGAGGTATTGAAGAGCACCAGCAAGGCTTCGATACAACGTGGGATCGTCTACGGGCTGTCCAATGTCTGCGCAGAGCTTGGCCGATGTATCAACTGGAGTGCGACAGGGTTTGCAATTTGACATATCCGCGCGGTGGAGAATGTCCGCAGCATAGTTGCGTTGATCAAGGAACAAACCATTCTTGTCCCTACGCACAGCAATGCCAAGAAAATAGTGAAGATAACCAAGGTCAGACATTGGAAATTCAGCTTTGAGAGAGGAGATGATAGACCTGAGAAGTGATGTAGTGGAGGCGGTGAGAATGATGTCGTCGACATAGAGAAGGAGATAAGCTATCTCTGCGCCGCGCCGTAGAATGAATAACGAGGTATCACTTTTGCTGCGAGTGAAACCATGTTTTGTGGCATATTGTGCAAACCTTTGATACCATGCCCGGGGAGATTGTTTGAGGCCATACATGGACTTCTTAAGGAGACAGACGTGGTCTGGTGTTGATGGATCAACAAAGCAAGCCGGCTGATGCATATAGACGGTTTCTTCGAGATCGCCGTGAAGAAAAGCATTTTTAACGTCTAGTTGGTGTAGAGGCCAGTCACGAGATACCGCAACGTCGAGTATGGTGCGTATCGTTGTTGGTTTGATAACCGGACTAAACGTTTCTGCACAATCAACTCCAACCTCCTGGGATTTGCCGTTAGCCACGAGTCGAGCCTTATAGCGAGCAAGTGTACCATCTGCACGAAATTTGTGAGTATACAACCACATAGAGCGAACAATGTTAACATTCAAAGGACGTGGAACAAGAACCCATGAACGTGCAGCAATTTGAGAATCATATTCAGTATGCATAGCACCATTCCAATTAGGATCTTTATAAGCAGCAAGATGTGATCGTGGCAAAGGAGAAATAATGTCAGAGTGGAGAGAAAATATCTGTTTTGGCTTGAAGATGCCGCTGCGGCTCCGAGTCTGCATTCTTGTGAGTTGTGGTGCAACTGGAGCTTGACTGGTGGTCGGAAGAGAAGATTGAAGAGAATCCGATCGTTGAGTAGGCTCAGCTGAATGATGGTCTGGTGAGGCAGAGCGATGATCAGCAGCCGGCATTGGAGATGGTGGAGGTGGATCGGGAGACGGTGCCGGTGCTGGAGATGGTGGCGGTGGTGCTTGAGACGGCGGCGGTGGCGCCGTCGGAGAGTGAAGAAGTGACGGTGAATAAGAAGACACCACTATAGAGCTAAGAGGCAGAGGAGGAGAGTTCGGACCTACAAAAGGAAACGTGTTTTCATCGAACACCACATGACGTGATATTATAATACGACGAGTTGTTAGATCAAGACATCTAAAACCACGATGGTTTGACGGGTAACCGAGAAACACACAACGAGATGATCGTGGAGAGAGCTTGTGTTGAGACGTCGGAAGGAGATTAGGGTAACAAAGACACCCAAAAACACGAAGATGAGAATAAGAAACTGGTTTATTAAACAAGCGAGTAAAAGGGATTTCATTGTTGATTGTAGAAGAAGGAAGAATATTAAAAAGATGAGCAGCCATGTTCAAAGCCTCAACCCAATAAGTATTAGGTAAGTTTGCTTGAAATAAGAGAACCCGCACTAGATTATTATCGTGCGCAAGGTTCATTCTGCTCTCCCATTTTGTTGGGATGTATGAGGGCAAGAAAATCGAGACTGAATCCCATGAGTAGAAAAGAAATCCAGCATTTGACGATTATTAAACTCACCCCCATTATCACATTGAAAAGACTTGATTGGGTTTGAAAAATGCGTTTTTGTATAATTAAAAAAATGCAAAAACTTTGAAAACACTTCACTTTTCTGACGAATGGGATAAATCCAAAGAAAATGTGAGAACTGATCAAGAAAAATAACATAGTACTTAATTCCACTAATACTTGTAACCGGGGACGTCCATACGTCGGAATGTATAATCTCAAATGGAGAAAAAACAAGAGTTTGAGAAGCTTAAAATGGTTGCCGTATATGTTTGCCTAATTGACAAGCATGACACAAAGAAGAGTCATTAGTTTTAGAAAAATGCAAAGAACCAGCAGTAGATAACGAGCGTAAAACTGAATCGCCAGGATGGCCAAGTCGTCGATGCCAAAGTGACGGTGAGGTAGTGATGAAGGCATGTGGAGATGAAGCCGTCAGAGGTGAAGTAACGGCATATAGTGAGCCACTGCTGTTACATCGGATTAGCGGTATTCGGGTATGAAGATCCTTAACAACAAAACCAAACGGGTCAAACTCAACAGAACAAGTATTATCCTTTGTAAATTGACGCACAGAGACCAAATTTTTCAAAATTTTAGGACACACCAATATATTTTTAAGATGCAAGGGACGAGATGATGTGATAATTGAGGAATTTCCAATTGCAGTAGCAGGAATTAGAGCGCCATTACCTACTGTGATGAGAGGCAAAGGTGCCTGAGAAGTAATAGAAGAAATATTACCAGGTTGTGCCGTGAGATGAGCGGTTGCGCCTGTATCCATGTACCATCCAGCATCGCCGGGATCAGAGACAGCCATGGTGTTGAATGCATTGGTGAGCACCGTCGGGATTAGGTCAGAAGACGGGTCTGACGTTGGAGGAGCAGAGGCGTTGTGCGTCGTAACATACGCTGCTCTTGGAGCGGATCCAAGATTGCTTGAAGACGGCGGCGGTGTCGCCGGAGGTCGTGATGCGTAACTTGGATACGCATTTGACCAAGGCATGGGCCACTGAGGTTGCCATTGAGGCTGACTGGGCCATTGTTGGTTATTGGGCCAGGGAGAGCCCATTGGCCATTGAGGAGGAGTAGGCCAGGCCCACGGTGGAGGTGGCCCAGATTGCCAATTGCTTCCCGACCAATGTGAAATTCCACGACCCTTAGAGTTCCGACCACCTCTGCTGCCGCGATAGCTACGATTTCCTCTGTTCTGTTGGAATTGGTGATTGGAGGAACCTGAGTTGGATCGCGGAGGAGCTTCGTACGCTGGTGGAGCGGAGGCCATGAGAATCTGGGGAGAAGAAGCATTATCATGGTGTGACGCTTCAGTTTGCCTTTTGGTGCTCAGCCTGTCTTCTTCATCTTTAAGCATCGATCGAGCGATACTGAAAGTACATGGTGGAGAGCGATGGTTGATAACGTTGATAATGTTATCAAACTTGGAGCTGAGTCCATTGAGAAGGTGCATGACCAGCTGTCTGTCCGTAACGGGAGATTCAACGTTCGCCAGGAGATCGGAGATCGTTTTTAGTTTCTGGCAATAGTCATGGACCGGTAAGTCGCCAATCCGTAGCTGACGGAGTTCGTTATCGAGTTGGATGGCACGAGCCTCTTTGTTGTCGCGAAACAGATCCTCAATCGATTTCCAAAGCTCCGATGCGGTACACTTTGTTTTAAGCACGGATTTGAGGAGAGATTCGGAGATGGTACCGTAGATCCACATCTTGATGGTGCCGTCAGTTTGAGACCATGTGGTATCCTCGGGACCCTCGGCGGTGGTGGTACCATCGAGATGACCCAAAACAGAGAAGCTATGACAATGGGTCTCAAACAACTCACGCCATATATCATAGTTCATCTGATTCATATCAAGGGTGATAGGGATATGAGCCTTGATTTGTGTTTGGCTAAGAGATCGATCAGTTGCCGGCGCCGGATTTGTCGCAGCCATGGCAGATTGTAAGGAATCAAAAATGGAGAATGAAAACGAACGAGAAACAAGAAAGAGGAAAAGGACAAACGAAAAAGAAAAGAAGAGCGGCGGAAACTTAAAATTCTAGGGTATGCTCTGATACCATATTAGATTCCTTATGATTGAATCGATGATCTTTACATTCCATCTACGATACAATATATAGAGGTTGCTATACAATAGAGCCGTTAGGGGCTCATAACTATGTTGCCTTATTGACATAACAGAATATATGTATTCCATATTCTAATAGTGGACGCATCGACCAATGGTATGGTGAATTCAGTTTGGTCCATGTATATCATCTCAACCTCATCATCATCATTGTCATCAGCTTTAGCATTAGCATTAGCACCATCATCAGCTTCAGCTTCAGCATTTGCATTTCCATTAGGGGATGGTGGTTTCTGCATGTGAAATTTTGCTTCTTTCGACTTCCTCTTTTCATCATAATCATTTCTTTTGTTCTTATCAGAAAGCAAATTCCAAGCTTCTGAAACAAGCTTAAACGCACCTTCCGCGCCGTTACACTTGTTCTTGTCCGGATGAAGCAGAAGAGCCAACTTCTTGTATTGTTTCTTCACTGCTTGGTCGTCAACCGAAGGATCAACACCGAGAACTCCGTACCAATCAGTGTCTCCTTCTCCATTGTTGATCTTGCTTGCTGCTGCCATATAAACATTGATCATCGCCTTTTTAGCTTCATCCTTAATACATTCCATGTCTTGCTAGAAGAAAAAATTGTCTTGTTAGAAGAAAAAAATGTACTCGGTTTTTTGGTAACTTTTGTAAGTTTTTGAGAGTTTTGATATGTTAGCTTCTTTTTTATAGTTAAACTCCGGAAGAAGTTTTACACACTTTTCTCATAAACATTTAATCGTCATAGGTATTTAAGAGAAAAAGAAAAAGAAAAGAAACAAATAGTTATCATGCATGACAGTCATTAAAAAAATAGAAAAAAAGTTTATTGGGAGAGTCAATTTAAATCTTTTGCTTGATGCATCAAGCAAAAGATTGACCATCTGAATGACTAATGTCAGAAAAAAAGTTACTTGACTTTTGTATGTGCATATCTGCTAACCTAAGTCTGCTTTTTCAAATTTTATATTTTAAACTTTATAGAGACTATTTTCAAATTTTAAAATTTATTTCAGAAAACAGAATTTTAATTTTATTTTGTAAAGAAAAAAATTCATCATTAAGATACGAAAAAATGAAAATATATCTTCATAGTTAAAGCCATACAATTTATATTTTCAGTTTAGAGATTAAGGTGAAGCACCATTAAAGAATACTTCTTCATTTTTTTCTTCTTTTTTTTTTTGGGCGAACGATGCGTAATATTATAACTCAACCTGCAACGAGGGAGTAAACAGAACAAGAGTACAAGCTGGACTTAGCCAGAAAGTTTGCCATGCAATAGGCTAAACAAGAAACAACATAAGCTGAAAATACATAAAGAGAGGATATGAAAGTCTTGCCTGATAACAGAGAGACTTCATTCCACTTGAAGCTTCTTGGATCCTCCACTGCGCCAACGGCAGTCTTCGAGACTATACCAACTGCTATAATAGCAGTGGTGTTCAATTGGCTAACAACATAACAGACCAGCAAGGGAAATTCAACGGTAAAAGACAAGCAATCCATACAAGATGAGACCGCAAACCTAGTAACACCGGAGAAAAACTTTTTCCCTGCAATAAAGGAATTCCCACCAAGAGAGGAATTTGATAGAACATAACACAATATATGTAGGAGGAGAACTTCGGAGTTCTCGAAGATAAACCAGCCCATGTCATGAATGGCTATGGTGACTCCATTTCTTATCTTTCTAAAGCGGGAACCTGGTTCATCATATAAGAATACGAACATAACAACAGACCGCATTGAAAGAGAAACGAGATTCTGAGTGACAACCTCATACAGAGGTAAGGGAACCTCAACCTGAGGTAAACGAAGCCTAACAACACACTTAGCAACCTCATACTGAGGTAAACGAAGGCTAAGGGAGAGCTTTATATCCTCATACTGAGGTAAAGGAGGCGAATCATTCCATTGTCTAATCCTGAGGCAAAGTCTAGTCAAGGTCACAGGGACCATATCTATCGGAGGCGAGCCTGAGAGTAAGTAGGAGAGACAAGACTTTAACCAGAGAAGCAGGTAGATCTGGAAGCTGCTACCCACATGAGCAACCACTAAGCGGCATGAACTCTGAGCGAAAGGCATCTGAGCAGGCGGCAGTGGGATCTCGAAACAAAGGGACAAAGGCTCCGGCGACTTCGACAGAGGATAACCTGAAACGGCCACCATCATGGCGAGAGTGGAACGGAGAGACGGGGAGGTGGGGTGACGACGAGGCGGAGTGAGTGGATGTGGAGAGGAGAAACGACCAGAGAAGGCGGAATGACTCAAGGAGAGAGTTGGAGGGTGGGGAGGGTCGTGGGACTCAAGAGGAGGAGCCTTCGTGAGCAGATCGAAGGCGGAAAAAGCAAATGGCGGCGGTTCTGGATCTGGATTTGGAGGAGAAAACGGAAGCGGCGGAGCGAAACAATGAGCAAACAGCAACAGAGCCATGAGAGAAAGCAGAGTAGGAAGAAAGAAGAAGATTCTCACCGGCTGGCGTGAGGCCACGCCGGCGGCAGCGCGAAAGGAAAGCTAAACCCTAGTCGCACTTGCAGTCACACCCCGAGAGTGAAAACGCGTTTTTATCCGTATTTCGAATTCTTTCATTTTTTTTCTTCAAAATGACACAAAAGTGAATTTTAAAACACCATTAGAGATGGTCTTAAAGATTGTTTACATCACCCCTACAGCACGTGTTGCCTTGTCCTATCAGGAGGTCATATTCCGTCGGTTGGATTTGTGAATTTCGATTTATAAATTAATTAAGGACCTAACTGGTGTTTGTATAATTATGGAATTGTGCTGAATTGTGCTGAATTATTACTAGTCACGTTTGCTGAATTAGCAAAATGACAAAACTTGCTGAAAAGACTAATAAACAAACAAATAAATAATTTCTAGTGTTCTCTTTTTATCTAGATAAAGAAATTGAACATTTCAATGTTCATAATTGGTAAAAACAAATCAAAATATAACAAAAAAGGTTCACGAATACATTTTAAGTTCAGCTATAAAAGACGCATGACATTTTCCATTTGATAAATCATTAGTCACAAAAAAAGTAAGTTACATTCAAAGCATTTTTCATAACTCGTAGTATCTATACAATAACTTTTCAGTTATATTTTTTAAAAACTAAATTATATTTTCATATTAATGTATAAAACATTTGCAGTTAACTATATTCTTAAAATAAAATTATATAGTTAGTTTGTACAAAGTTTTGCAGAATTTTGAAAACTATATCCTATTTTTTCTTAGATAAAATTTGTGTAGATTTAATATAGTTATTTATTTACAGGAAATTTTATACTCCCTCAGTCCCACTATATAAGCTGTTTAAGGTAAAACACGAAAACGAAGACAATTAATTTTTAAAAGTAAAGAATTACTTAATATATAAATAAAATATAACTCAACCAATCATGGAAAAAGACTACAAAAAATAATTGGATACACAACATTCAATAAAGTAAAAAGTGCATTGGTATTAGAAAACAACTTATAATTTGGGACAAATTTTTTTTCCAAAACAGCTTATAATATAGAAGAGAGAGAGTATAAAAAATTATAGAATTAATAAAACTAACACCTGTCTCTTTTAAATGTTAAAACATTTTAATATATACCGTATAATGAAAAAAATACAAAAGATATATGCTTGTAAATTGTTTCATACATATATATATGTCTATTTGAATTTTAAATTCATAAATTTTATATGTTTTAAATAAGTTATTTTATTTAAATATTATTTAGTTATTTTATAAATATATGCTTTATTTATTTAATTGGGTAATTATTATGTGATTTTGTTATATAAATAATTTATATATATATATATATATATATTAATTTTGCATTCAGCAATATTCAGCTGTTATCATTCATACTACAAACTAATCAGCCTTCCGCAACTATTCATCAATTATTCAGCCAGATTTCGCATTCAGCAACATTCAGCGGTTACCATTTAGACCCTAAATTAGATAGTAGAAATCTCTTACCATTAGTTAGTGCTGTCAGAAAAAGAGAAACTCCACAACTATCGGTATTTGAAATGATGAGATAACAATGTTTTTTTTTTTTTGGTGAGTTGTGTGGGAGATGAAATTCTCCCACCTTTATTAAGGAAATAAAAAACACACTTAAGTAATACAAATGTTTCGAGGACACTCATATCCCAAGATATCATCTTGAAGAATTGAGTCCAGACTAGTAGGAACTAAAGGAAAACAATGAAAACCCAACGGAACAGTGAAAGCATAGTTAGCCAATCCGTCAGCTAGACGATTAGCCTCCCTATACACGTGAGATATACAGACTATCCAGTCCCTTACGATAAAGCCAAGGCACAGACGTACCAGGAAAGACAAAGGATGTGACGCACAGATCCCTGTCTTGAGAAAACCGACTACCAACTCCGAATCCACTTCCACCTCCAGCCGCGCTACTCTTTTCTCCCATACGGTCAGAAGCCCATAGTAAACTCCCCACAACTCTGCTAAAGGAGCCGTGCAGATCCCTATGTTCAGCGCGAAACCACCACACCAAGCTTCATACTGGTCACGGAGGACCCCTCCTGCACTAGCTAGTCCTGGATTTCCTCTAGAAGCTCTGTCGGTGTTTATTTTCATCCACCCCTCTGCTGGCGGAGTCCAGCTAATCATTCGTTCCACCCGACTTGGCTTTGCATCTGCTACTCTACACGCCTCCCATGCCTTAGTGACCTCGTTTGCCAGAGTCTTCAGGAACTGTACACGATCTCGGCACTTCCTGTTTACACCAAACACATTCCCGCACCTCCACTTCCAGATCCACCAGACGGAAACAGCAAAGAGAGTTGGCCATGACGCACCAAACACATAAGCGCCATTACCCAGATTCGAATAGAGCCACCCCAACACAGACTGCCCAAAGAACTCTTGTTGTCTTCTGCGTGGAACCAAACGTGTCCAAATACCGGTCATAGCCGGACAATCTCGCAAGATGTGGATGATCGTCTCAGCACCTCCTTTACAAACGCTGCACAGATCTGAGTCACTTAGGTGTCTCCTCAGTCGTTTCTGTAGACAGGCATCCCAAGATACTTCCCCAAGTCACAGGTTTGTTGGATACCACTAAAACCGCTGATCTCCTCTCTTTGGTCCCAAGTGACATTCGCAGAAAAGTAAATCTTCGATTTCTCCAAGCTTACTTTCTGACCTGACGCCATACAGAATTTTTCCAAAACACCTCATATGATTCTTATCTGAGCCACTGAAGCTTCAACAAACAAAATCAGGTCGTCCGCAAAACACATGAGTGACAATTTTGGTCCTCCTCTCGAAAGGGAGATGGGCTTCCATTTTTTCTCCTCCATCGACCTCTCAATCATGTGACACAGTCTCTCCATACACATCACAAATAAGTACGGCGAGAGAGGGTCACCCTGTCTTAGCCCACGCTCAGGCTTCCCTGCTTCTGGTTTTTCTCCATTCCATAGAACATGCATCGAGGGTCCTGTAACACACTCAAGGATCCATCTAACCCACTTTTCTGATAAGCCGGAAGCAACGAGGGTGTCTTCTAGGTAATCCCATCTAACCCGATCATATGCTTTCTCCAAATCCAATTTCAAAAGCATCCAACCTTTCTTCCCTTTCTTCCGTCTCATGGAATGTACAACTTCTTGTAAGACCACTATGTTATCCGTACTCAAGCGTCCCGGGATAAAGCTTGCCTGCGCTGGTCCGATCAGATTCGCTATGACCTTCTTCAATCTGTTCACCATTGTTTTTGTAATAGTCTTGAATAAGACATTACATAAACTGATTGGCCTAAACTTGGATATCTTCTCTGGTTTTGCCACCTTCCCAATTAATACCAGAAGCGCATCATTCATCTTTTGAGATAACTGTCCTGATTCAAAAAACTCAAGCACAAATTGAGTAACCGATTCTCTTATCACATCCCAGCAGTTGTGATAAAAGACCGGTTGGAATCCATCCGGTCCTGGAGCTTTAAACTTTCCCATCCGAATGATCGCCTCCTCCACCTCTATAGACTCAAAAGTTTTATTCAAACTCCTTTGTTCATCTCCAGTCAACTGCGAAAAAGTGTGCTAGAGTTATTAATTATTTTCATATGTATGTATACTATTGTCTTTAAAGAGAATATGCTACAACGTTTGTATTTGTATGTCACTCTATATATCGTAGTTCTATTGTTGGTTTGTTAATCTCTCTCAGATTGAAAAACGTTTTCATCTCTTAATGCAAATGTTTACTGATATCCGTCAATTTTTTGGTGCTCTTTTAAAATAGCCACTTTTGGAATTGTTGGTAGAAAAAAATCACAAACGAACTAGGATAAAAGTATTGGTAGTTGTTTACACCCGAAAAAATAAGAGAATTATTAAACTCTTCAGGTTATATGTGTTCTCTTTGATTCTTTCAAAATTCGTCTCCTAATTATAAATTATGTATACACACAAGATTTGAGATGATTTAAAATGGTTTTTTAGATGATTTTGGGTAAATTAAACAAGTTGATGTGGTTTTAGCTAAAATTCCTCTATCAATAACCCCTATTGATAGATCACTTACGACAAACTCCTCCTTCATGAAAAAAAAACTTTTCACGAATCTCCTCCTTTATAGAGCAAATCTTGGTAAGCCATACTCAATGACCATGGTGTCTGCAGCCACGTCAGAAATAATGGACCACGTAGTGGTCTTGTGCAATTAAAAGAAACTTGTAGTCAGGTCTGCGGTCTGCCAAAGTTCTTCAACTCAAAAGTTCGTTCATTCGGATTTTCAATATTTATAAACTAATTTAGTCCACAAAAAAAAATATTAGAGAGAACTAAATATTTTCAAATTAAATTTCATTTTAAAACTTTATTGTTCTTTCGGGATCACAAAAATTATTATCCGTACTGAAAATTTCTGAACTGATCATACCCAATTTTGGTTTATTAGATCTAATCCAAGAAAAGTAGGCCCAATTTTGACAATATCAAACCAGAAAGCGCACATCTAAGTTTACCCGAATTTGAATCAAAGAACCAAACTGTTCGGTTCAACTTGGCACCATATTTTGAATCCAGAATTAAGTCAATTAACTCGAATTAGCTTAATAATCATAATGAACTATATTTAAGAATATAGCCATAGCAAATACAAACTAACCAACAAACTTTGTATGGACGAAATTGCCCTTATGATTACTCTTATGACATTTGCGTTCCGTACCGTACACACAAACTATTCATACTATTCTACACACAAAACAAAAATAGTACAATTTTGCGAAATTGTTAATCACTTGTTATCAAAGAATATCGAAAAATATAATTTACACTATTTGAAACCCTAATTGGATGAACCCTAAACCCTAATACATAAACCACAAACCCTAAAATTGAGGTCCAAAACCAAAAATCAAAACCCTAAACCCAAATTCTAAATCCTAAACCCAAAATCTAAACCCTAAACCCAAATCTAAACCCTAAATGGAAACCCTAAACCCTAAATCTAAATATTAAACCCTAAATCCAAATACTAAACCCTAAACCTAAAAAACATAGTAAAAATAAATAGTTGATTATATTCAAAACTCTAAACCTAAATCCAAAACTCAAAAATATAAAACTTAAATTTCATATCTAAGCACAAACATACATAATCTAATCCATAAATCCTAAACTCATAATTATCAAATCTAATTGACAAAAAGAACAATTGGTTTTGTTCTATATAGTAAATGGTATAGACTTTGATTTTCACCAAAAAATGAGAAAGGCAAAAATTGGTATTTTAATACATAATATATAAACTATATTCTAGCCAAAGAATTATTATGGCTAATTTCTAAATTATGGCTAAAAATATGATTATTCAGGTGTACAAGTTTCCCTTAAATCAAACCTTTCGCACGACAAAAAAAAAGAATTAACCGAAACCTAACCAAACCAAACCAAACCGTTAATTTAATTTGGCTAATTTCGGTAAACAATTTCTAATTCAATCCAATCAAAACACCAATTAAACCGAACCGAAATAACAAATTAACAGAAGTCGCAGCAGGCCCTTACTAAAATCGAAGGAGATTACAAACTTACGAGCTCTGTCTTTGTAGCAATGGACGGTGAAACTACTACAATACCCAGAAGTCTCGAACAAACTTTAATCAGACATTATCGGTCTCTCTGAAGCCAAAGACATGAGCATCACGAAGCTCGCACGCTCCAATGTCTTTACCAAACCAATCCCAAACTTCGTCAGAAGCTCTCTACGCAACGCCTGCGTCGAGTCGAATCAAACCACAGACTCTCCATACAAACCCAAGAAGCATCACATATTAGCCACAAATCTCATCGTCTCATACTTCGAAAAAGGCTTAGTCGACGAAGCACGCTCACTGTTCGACGAAATGCCTGAAAGAGACGTGGTCGCTTGGACCGCGATGATCACAGGTTACGCTTCTTCCAATCACAACGCTCGTGCTTGGGAGTGTTTTCGCGAGATGATTAGACGAGGCACGGACCCGAACGAGTTCACGCTCTCGAGCGTGCTCAAGTCTTGCAGAGACATGAAGGTTTTGAGCTATGGTTGTTTGGTTCATGGAGTTGTGGTGAAACTTGGTATGGAAGGTTCTCTGTATGTTGATAATGCGTTGATGAACATGTACGCTACTTGCTCTGTGACAATGGACGCCGCTTCTTCGATTTTTCGAGGTATCAAAGTGAAGAATGATGTCACTTGGACTACTCTAATCACTGGGTTTACGCATTTAGGTGATGGCATTGGTGGTTTGAAGATGTTTAAGCAAATGCTTCTGGTAAAATTTCTTACATTTCTCGCGTTTTCGCTTCGATTGTTTACGTTTTTGCTTTCATTTCTCGCGTTTTCGGGTCGACTGTTTCCGTTTTTGCTTACATTTATCGCGTTTTCGAGTCGATTTTTACGTTTTTGGTGACATTTCTAGCGTTTTCCTGTCGATTGTTTACGTTTTTGCTTACATTTCTGGCGTTTTTGCAGTCGATTGTTTACGTTTTCGGTGACATTTCTCGCGTTTTCGAGTGGATTGTTTACGTTTTGGCTCTGTTTTGTGTGTTCAGGAGAATGCAGAGGTGACGCCATACTGTATAACGATAGCGGTTAGAGCGTCTGCGTCGATCGATTCGGTTACAACAGGAAAACAGATTCACGCGTCTGCGGTGAAACGCTGTTTTCGGTCTAACCTCCCGGTGATGAACTCTTTATTGGACATGTATTGTAGGTGTGGTTATCTACAAGATGCCAAACGCTGCTTCCACGAGATGGAAGACAGAGATTTGATCACGTGGAACACTCTCATCTCCGAGCTGGAGAGATCAGACAGCAGCGAGGCCCTGCTAATGTTTCAGCGGTTCGAATCCCAAGGCTTTGTGCCAAACTGCTACACTTTCACTAGCTTAGTCGCTGCTTGCGCTAACATAGCTGCATTGACCTGTGGACAGCAGCTTCACGGTAGGGTTTGCAGAAGAGGGTTTAGCAAGAACGTCGAGCTAGCGAACGCGCTGATCGACATGTACGCGAAATGCGGGAGCGTGCCGGACTCTCGAACCGTGTTCTTGGAGATCGCTGAGAGGAGGAACCTTGTTTCTTGGACTTCGATGATGATTGGGTATGGTTCACATGGTTATGGAGCAGAAGCTGTTGAGCTTTTCGACGAAATGGTTAGCTCGGGTGTTAGACCGGACCGGATTGTGTTCATGGCGGTTTTGAGTGCTTGTCGTCACGCCGGTTTAGTGGAGAAAGGATTGAAGTATTTTAGAGCGATGGAAGAAGAGTTTGGGGTTAAACCGGATCAAGATATATACAACTGTGTGGTGGATTTGCTTGGAAGAGCTGGGAAGATTTGTGAGGCTTATGAGTTGGTTGAGAAGATGCCGTTTAGGCCGGATGAGTCCACGTGGGGAGCGATCTTGGGAGCTTGTAAAGCGCATAAGCACACGGGGGTGATAAGCAGATTGGCTGCAAGAAGAGTTATGGAGCTGAAACCGAGAATGGTGGGGACGTATGTGATGCTCTCGTATATATATGCAGCTGAGAGGAAGTGGGGAGATTTTGCGAGAGTGAGGAAGATGATGAAGATGATGGGGAACAAGAAAGAAGCTGGTATGAGCTGGATTGAGGTTGAGAATCAGGTTTTTAGCTTCGCTGTGAATGATAAAGCGTGTCCTAATGCTGATTCTGTGTATTCGGTGTTGGAGCTGCTCATTGAAGAGAGCAAAGAAGCTGGTTATGTTCCTGACTTAGACTGCTTAGTTCATGATCAAGAACTTCAAGAAAGTCCAGAATCTGAAAATGGCTGAGACTCTTTTCTTGATTACTGCATAGTAATTGCAGAGTGGCCTAGTTGCTAAAGAACAAAGATCACCATACCTCTGTTACAGATCAGGTACGGATAAGTTTGGTGTCAGGACAATCTTGACCGACCTCAATGGATCTGATTTTGTTGGCCTATTTATAGCTAAACGTCTCTTTCTTGCATTGTTGGTTGTTAAATTGTGATAGCTTGCAAGAAAATGGTTTGGTTAAGAAGTAAACCTCTGAGTTTCCTTTATTAAAGCAAAAGATATTCACATGGGTCATGTCAAGATTTGATCTTTTTCTGTTGAAATGTTAACATCAGAAGTTGTCCACAAGATTCAGATCTGAGCTCTGTTTAGGAAAATAGGATCATATATATTATTAATGTTGAGAATTAAGCATAAGCAGCAGAAAGTAATACATGATTAGGATAATGAGAAAAAGAGAGAGGGGTTTAAGTGATTAAGCATTTGTGACTTGAACTTCAGTGGTTCCATTGGTCTTCTCTGTTGCAGGCTTCTCAATCTCAGGAACAACAAAAGCAGAAACAGGGAAAGTCCTGGAGAGACCGGTGGGTGTCCTGAAATTGATCTTGTTTGAGCTTATTGGCTGTTCCAAGGCAAGCTCATTGAGAGTGACCCAAATAAGAAGCTCCTTGGCCTTGACGCCGGTGAGTTTCTTGATCTTTCCGACTTCAACCACCGCGGTGACCTCAGTGCCGTAAGAGACAAGTTTCCCAATGGCTTCGAACTTGTGAGTGATGCTCTTCTTCTGTTTCAGCCACACAACGCCTGATTCTCTGTCGTAACCGACCTCTTCAATGTCCTTCAACGGCAGTAAACCATTAGGCATAGAGACTTCGCTGAGGAACACTTTGGTCTTCTCGCGGCATATCTCATCTCCTGTGTACTTCTCTGCCCTAGCTCTGATTTCATCTGTTACCAAACCCATCTCTCTGTTTTTCCTTTTTGTTTTGATTTTTGGTTTTAGGATCTGTGTTTTTGGGTTTATGAGATTGACATGTTTTGCTTTAAGATTTATAGGTGGTGTGCTTTTAATTCACCCTTGCTTTTTCTGTAAATTACGGGAATGCCACTGTCTGAAAATTAATTACATGTGTCAACTGTCAAGGCAAGGACTAATATGAAATGTCCCAAACGGTTCTAAAGTCAAATATTAAAGACATTGGGATGTGAAAAATTAACAGAAATTGAACAAGATAGTAGTTGATCCAATGCATTAACTTTGTGTCTTTAGATTTTTTTTACCTATAAATCTTCAAAAATGGAAACATCAAATTACTACAAATGGCTATTTATATCCTTTGAACATAGCCAAGATCAAATTACTTCAAATGGTTACTTATTTATATCCTTTGAACATAGCCATGATTGAATTAAAATCGTTCCATGAAAAGTAAGTATGACTCATATAATAAATTATAAATAAATGGGTGGATTAAAATTGTTAGGTGAAAATAAATATATTTTGGATTAATGGATTGAAATGGAAAAAGAAAAATTTGGGAAATAATGTGATGCAATGTATATTGGTCTTTAATGGTTACAGTTGGGCAGATTTATTGCCTAAAATTAAAGTGATTTTGGTGAGGAGACAAACGTTACAATTTATTACCAATAATGTATTGACACGTGTTGAATTCGATTTTTATCATTTGTAGGTAGGACGGTCACCTTATTTAATCGTATAGTGTGGTTACTGGTTTCAACTTGCAATATGAGAGACAAAAATAACAAAGAAAAACAAACAAAATTGTACATGAATCAACTGTTTCGTATGCAAAGATATTCTCGAGACTGCAAATGATATTTAGCTAAATCTAGACCAAGCTGAAAAGTAAATACACATATATATTAGGTAGGTTATGATAGAAAATTGTACATGAATCAATTGTTTCGTATGCAAAGATATTCTCGAGACTGCAAATGATGATATTTAGCTATATCTAGACCAAGCTGAAAAGTAAATTCACATATATATTAGGTAGGTTATAATAGGAATGTGAAAGAAAAAAAGTTTAAATGATTTGATGAGATTTTGATTCTTTGTAGTCGATGTATTTTGATTGTTCTTACTATTTTAATCGGGAAAGAGATCATTTTTTGTTTTGGGATAAAACTTCCACAGTCAAAACCTTAACTACCATAAAAATGTTATAGACAATGAAAAGTTGAAAACTGAGGTATACATCTCAGATCACAAGTCAAGATTAACAGATAATGTTACATGGTATATTTTCAAGCACAAAAGAAAATACATGAGTCATGTAACATGACAATATTTTCTTTATAAAAAAAAAAAAATGACAATATTTAGTTATAAACATATGAATAATTTATCAACTCTGACAGAAGTTAAATGTTACAGAATAGTGAACAAAAAGGGCATTTTACCGACGCATGTTCCTTACCACAACTGTTTTTAAGTTTTTCTTTTTTCTTTTTTTTTTGTATAATCTTACATCTCTTATAGTGATCTAATTTAGCTATATAGTGCGCATGCATATTCTTCTTAATTTGTTTTGCTGTTCTCTACAAATTTATTTTGGAACACCTTGGTTACTGGGTTTTATTTCTGAATGTTGGTGAAAAATAGTTACATCATCATCCTCTTTATCATCATGTTCATTATGATGAAGATTGATGGTGCACAAGATTGATGGTGCACGAGACTGATGTTAACCATATTTAATATTTTGAATCACGAGAGTTATTCATTTAATGTATTAATTCTTATAGAAGGGGGCCAACCATAAATTTAAATCACAACTCTCTAACCATTACCAATTCTATATGGGAGTGGATTTAACCAAAAATATAAACATTCAAATACTTTTATTTTGTTTTTAAATCGTTTATTTCTCTGTCAAAATCTAATCACATGTAGTTATAGGTAATGGCCAGAGAGTTGTGATTAGTCTGTTTATTTTGGATGAACAAGAATTATGGTTGAAGTATAATCATATAGAGTGTCCACTTAATATTAACATACTTGAATATGGAGTAGACATTATTGGGTCTCCCTTTTTTTAGTTTAACTTTCTTGGTCAAATAGCAGAAATTATTGTCCACCACATTCTTCTAATTTTTTTTTTAAACTAATTCTTAATGCTGTTCTTCTTCCTATGAATTATTACACTTATGCAAATGAGTCAGAACATAAAATCTGCCACATTACAAAATTGTTAATGACTTCTGACTCAAATGACGATGTTGTTGTTGTTTTTTTTTTTTTTTTGATAAAAAATGACGATGTTGTTTTAATTAAACCCTCATCTCTAGATTAACTACATTCATCTTGAGATTCTTGAAGTTCATGCTAGGGAAAAGCATACTGCTCTTCTTTCAAACTTGAATCGTTACACTTACACAATACATATATGATAAGTGGAGCCACTTTGATAAATTACATTCATCTAACAAAAATGAACAGAAAGTAAAATGTAATGTCCCAAAAAGAAAAAAGAAAGAAGCAAGACTCTTCAACATATAAATGGTGATCGTCTTACTTCTTATTTCACATCTACCATCCGTTTCTTGAGAATCCTCTCTGCTTCGTTTGCATTTCCTCCAAGCAGCAGCAGCAGCCATCTCATGGCTCCTCAAACCATTTTTTTCACACTTTCTTGTGATTGATTTGCAGCGTTTGAGTTATCAGGTTCAGAACTTGTAGAAGAAGCATCGCTTGTGCTTTTGCTTGTTGATTATAAATTTGACACTTAATCTAATGACTGGCCTCCCACTGATTATCAAAAGAATAGATACACTAATGAAAACAAGCAAAGAGAAATTCAATGCTTCAGTCCAAGAGACTAGAAGAAATCTGCCTACGCTAAACAATGCTTCAGTCTCGGATTTTCTTCTTTTGTGGTTTATCAGTTTCAAAGGAGATCAGATCAGTTTTATAATCACCAAAACCATATGGCAAAACAAATGAGATTCACAAGGGTATGGTTTTAAAAAAGGTGATTTAGAAAAATCATTTTTTTTTCATCTTGATCATCACGTAAACGGCAAGATGAAAGAGAAAATGCAAGAAATAGAAGCACTGATTTGATTATGGACAGAGGAATAAAAACCCAATATCAAAATCCATAGTAAAGAAAGAGGGCTATAAATCCCCCCTTTCACCTAAAACAATAACCATAGTTTGAAAATGATGCCATCACTTTGTAGCACCTCGGTGCATTTCTACCGGGGTTAACCGGAAGCCGATAGGATCTTAAAAAAAATATGATGCACTATTTAAGTAGTACAAAAATGAAATGAACGAATAATCAGGCCCTGTTCGTCAGGTCTTGTTCGTTTCTGCAAGGCCTGACGAACAAGGCCTGGGCACAAGTACCCGTTACTTGTCCAAAACCCGTGACTTGTCCCGTATCTGCCTTGTTCAAGTAAGTACTTGTCTTAAGTAAGGCAAGTAACAAGGCACCAATTTTGGATACTTGCAGGTATAAGGCAAGTATCAAGTCTTATTTTAAATTTCGATACTTGCCCCGTTAGTTATATAGACTTGTTAGTTGTTTTGATGTTTTCTAAATTTCGATACTTGCCCTGTTACTACTTGCCCCATTAGTTATATAGACTTGTTAGTTGTTTTGATGTTTTCTAAACATATAATCGCAAAATTTTGCTTACTTTTTCACAATTTTTCGCTCCCTCTCTCTTTCTCGCTCTACGTTCCTTTTAGTTCATTTACTTTTCAATTTTTTTAACAAGTTTCTTAGCTCAATTCTTATTAATAAAAATTCATTTCGCAAGTTACAAGGCAATGCAAGTAACTTGCAAGTCGGCCAAATTTTGGCAAGTACCCGCAGGGGCAAGTACTTGTCAAGTACAAGGCAAATATAAGTCGATTTTTGTGAATTTTGAACAAGACAAATCGGGTCACAAGTACACCAAAAAATCTGGATACTTGCCTCGTGCCCAGGCCTAATTGAATGCTGCATTTGGACAGCCAAATGCTGAAATACTGTTCGTTTGTCACAAAAAAAAGAAGTTAGAATTCAGATGTTTTATCTAAATGCAAAATCAAAAATATTTCAAATATATAGATATTAACAATGTAGAGTTTGGATGCAATATTTACATCTCAAAACAAATAGACTAAAAAACATATCAAAATCACAAAATAATATTTTCCCACAAAAATTATAAAATCGCTTATTTCAGCCAAAGTCGTAAATAATGAATTTTTGCCACACGTTTTTCCATCAAAACCATAAAATCATGTTTTCCACCAAAAAATGTAAAATCAGGTTTTCCAAAACTGTAAAATCACGGTTTTCTACCAACTATAAAATCACATTTTTCCACAAAAATCGTAAAATCAAGTTTTCCACCAAAAACGTAAAATCGCGTCTTTCTACAAAACCACAAAATCACGTTTATTCACACAAAAAAAACGTAAAAAGGCTCAATATATATAAAAAATACAATAAAAACGTTTTTAACAACTCAAGTCTAATATGTAAAACACATAAAAAAAATCAAACAAAATCTATTTTGCATGAATGAGAGAGAAAGATACTCAGTTTACTGACTCTAAACGACAGTATGTTTCTCTTGTTGGTTTGGGCTGCAAAATTCTATAATTAGGTAGTCCAGCCCGTGAAACAACATGTTTACTACCAAGTCTTTTTCTCTTGTGTTGCTTTTTTTTTTTGTCTTCCGTTTTTGCTCCCCCGTCATTTCCTTCGAGTTTACTAGGATTTTTCGTTAAACCCAGGAGCTCTTTCTCCTATAGATATGAAGAAAGATTTCCCACATTTGAAGTAGCTTCAACTCCATAACTGCCTAGAACAGCAAGCTCGATCATCTTTCGTCCATTCTTCACTTTGATCATCGCAGGATCATGTCTTTGAGCCCTACTCATGCATCAAACTCCTGGGATTGGAAAGGATTTTCCCTCAAATCCTACAAATTATAATT